GATGGCAGCGCCCGCGAAAGTGGCACGCGAGTCGATCAGCGAGAAAATCGGCGGAGGGTCTCGGAGTACCAGCTGGCAATACGGTTACCCCCCTTCGAGCACCCGGGGAAGTCGCGTTTGCGCGGTAGTAAGGGCTCGGTTGCTCGACTCACGAGCGCGACTCAGTTTGCTCCGCGCGTCCGACCCGCGCGGTCATGGATACCCTCGACAACATCGACAGCGACCTATGGCTCGAGATCTACGTGAAGTTAAGTGTCCGCGGTGGCCCGGGGGGCGGGTGGGGTACGAGTGACGCGGTCCGCACCGACAGCCTAATGCCGCCCGAAGGTCGCCACGAGCGAGCCGCGACGCGTGACGCCAGAGATTGTCGCTCGTTAAAGGCCCTCGGCCGATTTGCGGGGGACGTTAAGTGGAGGTGGCAGACCGCTACCTGCGAGGCTGGTGTCACTGGATTTGCTAGGGAGAGCCGTAGGATGGTAATCTCGGGTCCGCGGCCCCCGTTCGCTCGATTCGGGCTGCTCCAGCGTCCGGAGTGTCGTCGCGCTTCTTGCTTCGCCGTCGTCAACTATTATGAACGTTATCGCTGCGGGGATATGACCGATCCTTCATAAGTACCTCGCTAATCGCGACGTCGAATCTCGCTCCGAAAATATACCAAGTGACAAAGAATATTAAGGCGCTGCACGAGATGCCTCCTCCGTATGTTGCCCTCGTCGTGTCCTATACGCGTGTTCGACGGGCGAACGAGAAAACGTGAATAGCAGAATGGTTTATGTATGTACAATAAGCATACGAAGTACGAGACAGAGCATATTTTCGTGTGCCCGAGGAATTGCGTTTCAGAGATTGCGAGAGGCTCGTTAAGTATTGTAGGATCGCGCGGATTGAAAATTTAGGCATTCTCGGGTCAAAGCTACTCGCTCGTTTAATTATTTATTTATAAAATCAGCACCGCCTATATAAGTTGTTCGAGCGAATTCATTGCTTTGAAAACTGGGCTCCGTGCTCGGATTAATGTAGAAAAATCATGTCTCTGCCAAAATTGAAAAATGTCAAGACAACGCGCGGCGTTAATCGGCCAACGGACCATTGATTTTCTCCTCCACTTATTCCGTCTTTTCATCGCTCTTCCCATTACTCGTGTTACGCTAAAGCGGAAAATTTGGCATATGCGAGCTTACGGGAAGGGGTGGGTGGGCGGGGATAGACAGTTTAATCGAGATGTTCATCACTCGGCTGTTTATGGTTTCGTGTGATTACTCTCGTTCAAAGGATAGAAAAACGAAGATAGCGACTGACTGTCGACAATTACGTGGCTTCTCCTCTCATCTACGGTCCAACCGCATTGCCGAGTACGACTGGCGCGTAGCTTCGCTAACGACAAAGTTATTTTCTTATTTCTCTCTCTCTCTCTCTCTTTCTCTCTCTCTCTCTCTCTCTCTCTCTCTCTCTCTGTGAATAACGAGCGAAAAATGTGTTATGCTTTACTTTTATGTCGCGTCCCCGAATGTCTGCTTGCTTCTCTAGAGCGCCTACGTATATTTTTATAAAGTACTATGATGAGGATTTGTCCTGCCGATATAACAATTTACTCGTAACGATTATTCGTCACTTGAATTTTACATGTTACATATTTTATCGAGAATAATTAAAGTCACTGTACCAGCGAAATTCTGTTGGGCAAATTTTGACATTTTCTGGAAGATTAATTTTAATCTATTTCATCTGAATACATTTTTAGAATAGAGGTGATTTGTTTCAATTAAAGGTAGCTATTGGGAATTTTAGTTATTTTTTTTGTGTTTGTTTTTATTAACTTTAAAGTGAATGGATATAAGTTGCAAAATCTACATTTTATAATAAGATATTGAATAAGATAAGATAATTGCACTAAGAGCTTTATTTAATACTAAAAAAAAAACTTGATTCAATACTAATGAGATTTATTGTTATTCTTGTCTTTTTTTTTCTTTCTTTCTAAAGTGATAAAATAAGCCCCCCCCCCCTTTATACTCTTTCTTACATAAGAAGATCAGAATTTTATGAGAAAAACATCGCATACATAGAATGTCGAAGGGTGCCGATAAAAGAAATACCAAAAATATGTATATATTTGTAATGACAAAATTATAAATAAAAAAACGATATTATATTATCATATTAAAACGATAATTCAGACACGCATACATAAAATCAAGGATAGAATTACCGATAGGCTCGATTATTTATTAAACTTACAAAAAAAAAAAAAAGCCAGAAATGGCTTCTTATAACGCAAAAAAAATTTTTTTTTTTTATTTATTTTTTTTTTTTATTAAAAATACCGTTCCCCAATCACTTTATCTTAAATGAAAGCTTATAAAAACAGTTCGTGCACTCGCGAACTCACCAATTATCATGTTTATAAATATTTGCCAGTCTGCCGATGATATAGTAGACAGTAGCGTCATAACACTGTTTGCTCTTGAATATTGACATCGGATCCAAACGAAACAAAAACGTGCGAAAAAGTCGCGATTTCCAAAGTAGTATAAAGCATATGACTCGTTACGAGTCCCCTCGAGATAAATCGAGCGCATAGAGATGTCGATGCGAGCTCCCAAGCGAGTCGAATTCTTCACAAGAAATTACCGATATACGAGCCTTGTCGCAAGACAGTTCCGCTCATTCCTTTTGCTGTAATTTGCCGCTTTAAGTTTATCTTTTTATCATTATGCACTGTACTATGCATTTCATGATGTATGCATAATCGCTTGCTGTCCCATTTCTGCATTCGTGCCCTTTCGCCTTCGTTAACTTCAATCATAGCACAAAAACCTTCCATATCTACGGCTCGCACTTATCATAATAATCATAATAATTAAGAATCAGGATATTATTACGTTTATTTCAATAATTCTCATAGGCTTATCGGTTTGTCCATCGAATTTAAAGGTTTTATAAACAAGAGGGTTCAAAGTGCATTAAAAACTTTATCAGTTGCAAAGAGTCTAATATATTAATAATATATTCGGTCATTTTTAATTTACTCGATATTAAAGATGTATTGATGTTTTCTTTCTTTTTTTTTTTTTTTTATTTTTCTTCAATGACTCGTAGAATACGAGTGATCGACGAACGCAGACTTGAATGAGTTGAACGTACTTGTTAATAATAATCGCTTGTCGATGTCCGTATACCAAAAACATGACGGAAGCGTGTATCGTGCATTTACTTAAATTATCGGAACATTGGATTAACGCTAATGTATTTAAATGACAATAATTTTATTCTCGATCAACTAATTACTTATTTATAAATATAATAATTTTTTTATTCGCGAATTTAAAGCGTCGACATTAATTACGTTTACATTAACATTTATATCATAATAAACGTATGTGACGTATAAATATTACAAAGATATTAAATAAAAAGCATATATATTTTGTAAATAAATTGCCTAAATATATTAATATATTAGCAAAATATAAATATCGTTTGTTTTAATAGTTTGTTATTTTTGCATGTCGGAATAACTAAATCTTGAAACTATGTGCGAGTTTAATGACCCGTAGAGTCGAATTTCATTCATTTTCATTTATTTTATTTTAATTCACAACTTCTCTTTAGATTTAATACTGATAAAATTAAAACGATGAAAGGTATAATATTAAACACTTCTTAGATTATTTCATTTTTATTTGACAATGATGTGTTGTCGTTTATAATTTAAATTTGTAAGATTCGATGTATTTTTCGAAGATGCGCACGCGAATGATAATAATTATCAAAATCTCACTCGACTAAGAAAAACAAACTTTTAATTGTAAAGTTAAAGCTGAAATTAAGGCAAATAACGATTATAAATGGAAAATAATTTAATAATGAAATCTAATATACATATATTATATATGCATTGAATGATATATGATCTATCGTCCCCCTCCGCCCGCCTCGCCTCGCCTCGCCTCGCCTCGCCTCACCACGCCACGCCAATCCCGTTGCGTATATACTCGCTCACTCGCTCGGGCCTTTTCCGAGAGAAAGCAAAGTTTCAGTCTTGATCGTGTAAGCTCTCGAAAGTTCATTGCGCAACTCGAGGTGAATGCGTTTCTCCAAAATCAACGGCCTTGGCCGACCGAACGCTTACTTCACTTACAAAATGCGTATCGAACGAGAGAATATGTCGAGGACGACGCTATGCAGTGCTCATTTTAGTTATATCCGGGTGGGGTGTATCGTATATTCGAAAAAAGACTGTAAGCCAAGCAAGCGTCTTACGTTACATGAATAATAATAATTGGATGATTTTTAAATGGGTCGTTCCACTTTGCTGCTTGTCATTTGTAACTTTGATGAAACAATTACCATAGTTTGGTTTGCACATAATCAGTGTTTGCGTTTGAATAATACATCGTTATTACTTCAATTGAAGTTATTATTTTTACTGAAAATTCGATAATATAATTAGAGTCTAAAGGGATTCATAGAGTCGATAGATTTTCATTTACAAATCTTAATTCAATCTTAACAATTGAAAAACGTTTATTTATTCGCTTCAATACAATATTAACGGTATACGGTGGTCGTTTGTTAGAAATAAAAATTATTGCATCATTTATTATTGCGTAAATAAGATTAACGAGTAGAAAGTTAGACGTGAAATATCGTTAGCTGTAATTTATAAGGGTAAGCGTGATTTCCATGACACCAAATGCATTAGAAATAAAAATATAAAATAATTTCGATTGCTTATTAGGAGGAAAGAATTTCCGTAAAATATTTACCCGAAGATTGCCAATGATTTATTAAATTTCTAAATGCATATTGCGGAGCGGCGGAGGGACTGGGGGTGGGTTGGGGGGGGGGGGATCTCACGACAAGAGAATATTATATGCGATGGCCCCTCCGCCTATACAGTTGTATAAGTACATTTTACGTTAAAAGTGAATCTGCCCCGCAGCCCTTCTAGCACGAGCTTAAATTTGATAAAAGCATTGTGCCTCTTGTGCCAACAGTATATGGACATTGGGGAGGACATCGGTGTGCCTGATGACTTCACAAACAGCGAGATGGTTTCGGGTATGTGGTGGCGTCACCTCCTCGCCGGTGGTATTGCCGGGGCGGTATCGCGTACCTGCACCGCACCCCTCGATCGCATCAAGGTGTACCTCCAGGTATGGCTTCAAAATATCAATTATTTAACTGGCTTAATATTGTTCTTTAGCCACGGCCGTAATTTATTACGCCGCTAGTGAAAGGTAGCGACGAACTCGGTCGATGATTTTTTAATTTGTAAAATTATACTTCCTTGGGAAGACTGTATTATAAAAATTAGCTCTTTATCTAATAGAGTTTTTTGTCTTCATACTCAAAAGATTAAAGCAGAGTGTATGCAAGTAGAGCCAATGATACGATGATTTTGAAAAATAATCTTAGTATGTATAAATATTGTCGTACGTTCCATTATGGGCATATAATTTTTTTTTTTAATAGTTAAAATAATATTTTTATATTACCTCGTTATATTAAATATTCGTCGAATTAAAAGAAAGGTAAACCAACTGAATTAAAGTATTATTTGTTATTAAAGTAATTCACCTAAATGCTAATAATTAATTGTTTTGATTTTAATAATCTAAATTTTTTAATCCGACTTTGATTAATTCTATTCAATTATCTTATGACGAGAATTTAAAAAAAAAAAACAAAAAAAAACAAAAAAAAACAAAAAAATAAGAAATTTTCATAGTTCGCGCAGTAGAAAAGAGCCGTAAATTATATAGTGTAAGATATCAATAAAATATACAACGAAATAAGTTAATATTACTACATCACTTGCATGTAGTTCCTCTCTTACGCTACTGCAAATACAAATATTCATAAATAAATTATATGATTAATATAACTAGATAATAGTATGATTTAATTGTAGAGGTATAAAATATAATGAGTGGAATTTTGTTCTACGTTTAAACAAATAAATATTAAAATTTTATCGTTGATACAATTAATTGTATTTATTTATTTATTTGGGTTGAAGATTTAAACGTCTATTTCTCATATTGCAATTACACAAATATATTAAACGTAATGTGGCCATCAGAAAAAATGATATTGCTTAGTTTTGTGCTCATAAATTATTATTATTTTAAAAACGTTTAAAGATAAACAAAATTATCTTTTATTTATGTATTCTATAATCTAGAAATTTATTCATGAAGTTTTGTTCGCTTATGTTTTCAATTTTTAATATTTTAAAATTATTTTCTTATCATTGTGTAGTTAATCTGTTTTATCTAAGTTGGCATATAATATAATATAAATTCATTTCATTTCGTGAATTGTTTAATTTAGATGTTCAACGTCAGTAGTAAAATGTCATCGACCATAATCAAATTTTAAATTAATATTTAAAAATTCATAATATCCATTGTTATTCTTAGTCTTATAATTATTAATTTCATGGCCGCGTTAGCTTTATGGATAATTTCTGGATTATTTCGTACGATACTTTAGAATGGCTGTGACTATTAAGTTTTGTTACAAATGCTAGTTTCTTTTTTTATTTATAAATTATAATTTGACTATAACTTGTAATTTATTCTTCTAATTGTTATTTTAGTTTCTTTAATTGCCCATGCATAGATGCCTATTATATATATATATATATATATGTGTGTGTGTGTGTGTGTGTGTGTGTATATATATATATATGGTGCTCTTACAACTGTAAATTTTTTTTTTTATAATTCAATGTATTATACGATTAAATTGTCTATTTGTGAATTTACACTTTCAGTTTATAATAATAAAAGTTGACTTAATACTGGTACAGAATAAGTGGAGCGCTTTAAAAAAAAAAAAGGCCATATTTACATGTGCATTATATGCTTGTATTTCTGGTCTAGTTAAGTCTTTCATTGTTAACAAATTATAAATTGACATTTGGCATGAATTTTAAAAATGTGAAGTATATCTAATAGGTTACACGGTATATCGAACTTGTCATTATCTCAAATTTCAAATACATAAATCAAATATTGGTTTTTTCTTCATTTCATTTCAATCATTATATAAGCTAATACGATGAATTGTGATTTTGAAGTTAAAATAAATACGTAAATACAATTAAGCATTTAAAGGAAAATAAATTGAAAAGACAAGAAAAAAATGGATACGATGATATGAAACTAAAATGATTTACAATAACTATTTGACTACATAATATCGATTCTTTATGTGTGTAAGGTCGATTAACTTTTCATACCAAATCAGTCTCGAAACTACAATTCGAGCATGTAAAATCTCTCGTACACTTAACGATAATAACAATTTGTTTCGAGGTAAGCAGATTTTTACACATATCTGTATACCGTCAGACTGGCTTAAAATGTTTAAACCCACGATTGACATACGCGATCGAGCTGTCATAATAATAACGAATTGAAATAATTATTTGAGTAAACGTCCACTCAGTTATATATTTTCAGCAATCATTCGACATTAATAATTAAATATTCTTTATTTTAAATTGAAAAGTAATAATTTAATAATAATGCTTGAGAGCGCTAGCTTTTTAGTTTAAAGCCGCGGTTAATTATACGAACGGATGAAAATTGTGGTTTTTTCATACTTAGTGCGTAATAAGTAAGTACTTGGTACGTAGGATTGTAAAAACTATTGATCGCGTGTACTCTACTGTAAGATCATTAAAAACTTTCAAATTTAATGATTGACTTGGTGAGCAATAGTATCGTAAGGTCACACACGAAAACGCTAAAGTAACGAATCTCTCTCTCTCTCTCTCTCTCTCTCTCTTCACACACACAGGTGCATGGCTCACGGCAATGCAACATCTTCAGCTGCGGGAAATATATGCTTCGGGAAGGTGGCGTGAAAAGTTACTGGCGTGGTAACGGCATTAACGTACTTAAAATCGGTCCGGAAACGGCTCTCAAGTTCATGGCCTACGAACAGGTGAAGAGGATGATTAAGGGAGTCGACAATCGGGACCTCAGTATCTACGAGAGATTCGTCGCTGGTTCGGCTGCTGGTGGTATCAGCCAGACTGCCATTTATCCTCTCGAGGTAAACTTACAAGGCGATTGCCGTCGGCCGTCCATCTCTATTAAACTTTCCACGCCCCAGTCTCAGGGCTGTAAAATTTATAGCGGGACAAGTGAAAGTTGTCGGATAATCCGATAATACTTGATCCGATAGACTTATCCTCCTCCGTCCATTGTCACTGCCATTAAATTAAAATACGGATTTAGATTAAAAGAATTTTGTTAAAACGGTCCGGTCAATTTTTTGAACATTACGGATTTTAATCAAGGAAAATTGACTTTTACACGTGAAAATAAATGGCTGTCCATGCCAAATAATCTTCCGTAAAATTTCAATTTTCTTACCACTTTGTTTCAGCGCGTCATTTACGATTGTCGTATCGATGTTAAAAATGACATTTTGCCCAATAAATGACTAATGTGCGCCAATAATGTCCAAGCGACTCTTCAATTTATCAATTTTTATTGTTTTACGACGATAAGTAATTTTAATTTAAGAGCCAATGCAAACAACATTCAATGGAATTTTGCCGAAATTAATCGATTGGCTCGTTACGCAATTACATATAATGTATTCATAATAAAAACGTATTTGCATTATTTATAAGAATTCTTTCAAAGAATCTGTTTGAACTTAAACTATTATAAAATGAAAGAAAAAAAGTGTGATACGGCCATAGGGAGGGCGACGTTACATAACGTCACTATAAATTCAAATCTTTAAGCAATAAAAGTATTTGATGTTCGGTCGGTATCACAGATTACCTCTTAAAGACTTATATTACCAATTATGCTCGTTTATTGATAAATCTTCGCCAATTTTTGTTTAAAATACGAAATTAATGACAATGTTAAATTAAATTTGCTATATCTTAGCCGAGGCAAGTAATTTCCCGATTGAAAATAAGCACGTGTAAATTTAAAAGTCATTTCAATCGTTTATCGTTTATCGTTGGTCGTGCCATTTCAAATATAATCTCCATCTCGAAAAACTCACGAGACGAGCAAAGACAAGCCATTCGACAAATTCTCACGACACAATTACTTTTAGGTACTGAAAACTCGATTAGCCCTTAGAAAGACTGGAGAGTTTAAGGGAATAGTCGATGCGGCGCAAAAAATATACAATCAAGCAGGCTTGAAAACATTTTATAGAGGCTACATTCCCAACCTCATTGGAATCCTGCCCTATGCGGGTATCGATTTAGCTGTGTACGAGGTTAGTATGATTATTCAGTATGCAATTTTTTTATTGTCGTAGGTGTAGAATCGACACGGCTCGTAACTGCAATAGCGCTTTTCTTTAAGAGCGTGTAAGTGTCGTCGACAAAGCTTAATTAAGAGCATTACGAAAATACTAAAATATGATAATTCCAATCGACTATTTGATAATTATATTCAATTAATGCCGACATTTTACTGTAATTGTAGCATTGCCCGGTAAATAGCTGGTGAGTAGCTATTTATTAATTAAAATCATTTGTAATTAATTCGCGTGTATAATTGACATAAATATCCTTAGTTAACAATTTATTTTTTGCACATTACGAATGCGAACGATTTTATGTATAAGACTTTTTTGTACGTAACGTCATACCACGCATTACAAATCTTTCTTTATTTAATGCATATTCATTACAACGACGACACGGATACCATCGATGAAACGAGATCCCCTTGGTTCGATTTTGCACTTGGCATTCGGTTGACGGTTGCGCTACCTAATGTCGACTATTAGTTTAAATTGAAATTAAAGGAAAACTGATGCCACGATCCTTTCAGACATTGAAAAATAACTACATTCGTACGCACGGAAAGGACGAGCAGCCAGCCATTTGGCTGCTGATATTATGTGGCACCGTATCGAGCACCGCTGGTCAGGTCTGCTCGTATCCCTTGGCGCTAGTCAGGACGCGGCTGCAAGCTCAGATCGGGCCGGTCAACGGACAGAACAACATGGTCGGCATATTCACGGACATCTTCAAGAGGGAAGGTCTTAAGGGCCTCTACCGTGGCCTCACCCCAAACTTCCTCAAGGTGAGACTCCCCTTCGGCTCTTGCGTTCTACGTGGTTCTGACAGCGCGAGTGGCGCATCGATAAGTCGTAATAGTCCTTTAGTGATGTAATTGAGAATGAGGGATGAGGAGGGCTAAAGAATTATATTCAAATCCGACTTGCTTGATAAATAAAGGTATAAAGAGTATTTATCGTCGCGAATGTAATGTGTTTATAAAATTCAAGCTCTCCATCATCGAGATCCAGGTTTCGTTCTTAACAGTTACTCTAGTTGTTTGCAGTAAAATTTTTATCTTTTAAATATAATTTCGACTGATATATAAAAATTTACAATTCTAGTTCTAATTTACAACTAAAATTTTAATGTTAAATTTATTATTCACTAGTTCAAGCCTTAGATAGTTTGAAGAGTGAAATATGGTTGAAATTATGCAGATGAAATAAATATTTGAAATTTTCAAATTATACGTTTCTATATTAGTATATGCACTATTTAATATATTTAAAATACTATCGTATTTTTAAAATATAATCATATTTATCTATTTACATATATGTATATAATTTTTATTTTTTTTTTTTCGTTGATAGGTCGCACCAGCAGTATCAACGAGTTACGTTGTGTACGAATATGTCCGATCGGCGCTAGGAGTGAACATGACGTGATGAATATATTATTTAGGAACCTATTCGTTTTTATTAAATTATTCTGTAAATTTATAATAGAAACCTACAGTAATAATTCAAAACAAAACTGGTAAAAAAAAAAACAAAACAAAATGCAAAAAAAAAAAATAATAATAACTCGGACAAGCACCAACAGCCGTGTGCCTAAGTATTATGAATAATGATTGTGAAAGAAATTAAGACACTGCGGTGTTTCTTTACTTCCTAATTAATCGTAATTAATTCAATTTATTTATTGTTATACGACGTATCAACTTTCTCGAAACTTTGCAATTACTTATATTCTACGTAGGTATTGTATATTTTTGCAGAGAATATGTAGTAATTATTCTGTCTATTGAGAATGTTTATCAAAAATGAGAGAGAATAAATGAACGAGATGGAGTGATGCGAGTGTGATTTTGTGTGTATATGTACGAGCATGACTACTGTGCGTGCGCGAGCGAGTGTGTGTGAGAAAGAGAATTAACAATTATGTACGATCGAAAAAATAGGAAAAATGAAAATGTGTATATATATATATATATATATATATATATATATATATATATATATATATATATATATATCTCTTGGGATAGCTAGGAAGGTTTACTCTAATCGCTTTATGCTATTGTAAAGTTTTTAATTTGCTTTTGTAGTTATTTGTTTTGTGCAATGCTCCTTTAAAATTAAACTAACCAGCGATACAAATTTCGAGTAAAAGAAATGAGCTGGAACTAGGAAATTATTTTAATGATAATTTTGTACCTAGCTATCGAAGGGATAAAGTAAGATGAGAGTTTGAAATATTGAAAGTAGTTTAAAGGAAATCCCACACAGCAGGTTTGGAAGGGATCGACTGATTTTTTTCTCGACGGTCGATAACGTGATAAGTAGTACGATCGAGTTATACTTATACTGTGATAAGTATGATTATAAGATTTAAAAAATTAAATAAAATAAAATTAAAGAAATGAAAAAAAAAAAAAAAAGTAAAACGAAACAAGAGTAGTATATAATTCAACGACTGGTGTTTCCTAGGATGTATCGATAAAATTCGTTATCTATTCTTGAATCGTATATGGATCAATTTAATTAAAATTCTTTAACCTCGTCAAAGTCCAAATCAAATAACGATTAAAGATTCATTGACAATCTTGAGTCATTACTAAAACAATTTAATACAATATATCGCGATCGCTTTTAATAAGCCCTGAAATGCAATGCCATTCATTCCTTAATTAAAAACACAAAAGCAAAAAGAAAAACAAAGAATAGAAGAAAAAATTAATGACAAAAATACAACAAAAAAAAGAAAAAAAAAAGAAAGAAAAATACAAAAAAAACGAAGAAGAAAAAGAGGAGAATATAGTAAATCGAGTTCTTATACAATTCTAGTTAAAAAAATATTTATATAAAATATACGCGTCTTTGAATCTCGATCCGCTTAGCCTTTTTAATAATGAATGAATGTAATGTTAAAATTTTTTAAAAAATCTAACGTCAACTTTGTATGAAACAGTTCCGGTATTCGATATTATATCAGATATCATAATTTATCATCTACAAAGAAAGTTCTTCAAGATGTTTGTTAATTATAATGATAAAAGTGAAATGAAGCCTCGTTATATTATCAATTAGATATGTGTAAAAAGAAACTTGCAGGAGTGCTTGAAATTAAATGAGCAAAGATAACGTTTCAGTTCATATATTGTAAAGAAGACGACAGACAGGCTTAGCTTTGCAGGACTGAGAAGTTATTGTACATGACTTTAAATGAATTATAGGAAAAACGAGTCTTATAACTTTATCTAGTTATTTATGGCTCGTGCCTGAGTGTATATTAATAGTTTTTTTTTTATTTTTATTTTTATTTTTTTTTTTTTTTTTTTTTTTTTTTTTTTTTTTAACGAATAAATGTAATTTATTGACTCATGTATAAAAATGGAACTTTTTTTCTTTCATCACCGACCTCCAATCCTGAGAATACTAATCAATTCTTTTTCAAAAATATATTTAGGGGTAAATTTAGTTTTAAAAAAAAAAAAAAAAAAAAAAAAAACTTAACAACTCCAAAGTTATTAGAAAGTGATGTATATTTTTTCCAATTACTTAAATATCGTTACAAATCAAGTTCATTTTTCGAAACAACTTGTAATCTTATGAAGTAAGTTTATGCGAATCTATATTTTCTTTTACTTTATTTAGCTTACAATGATATGTATTAAAAATGTACGATAAATATTAAAAGCCAAAAATTACAATTATCAAAAGTTTTCATTATCATGAAAAACAAAAATTCAATGTATATGTTAAATAGTAGTTTTTGCGATCTAATCGATACGTAAGACTGATTTAATTCAATAATTCGTATTTTTCGTTTGTATATTGTACAGGCGATTATAAATTGCAATACAGGATTTTTCATCTGATCTTAATAATAATAGCGGATCTAAATAAATTCGTCGTGATAACAATTAGGAATTATCCTGCAACATTTGATTGTAATTAATTGTTAAGTTTGTTTTTACTATCAAGTGCGGAGTTTTGTAGATCTCTCGACTCGACTCAGAATTATCATGTACAATCTTTAAAAATGCCTATAATTTTGTTAAGTACTTTCTTTTCGAAAACAACAATTAGGCCGTAAAATAGATGATATATATATACACGGGTGAAAACACCGCGTTTACCTTTATGAGCAGCTATGTATTCAACATTTTCTCAATATATTAATTGCCTACCTATCTTTTCTCCTTTTATCTACATCATACAAAAATTATCAGTTACATAAATGTATAAAATCAGCAGCCTGAGGAGTGTAGCAGAATAAGTTACAAAGTGGAATGTAGTATCGCGTAGTGTTATATTATGGGTAAACTATAAGCCTCCGGCAGCATCTTTATCCAAAATCCAGTAAAGAATTCCATTTGTTGGCTGCACTCTGGTGGCTGGTAAGTTCTCTTTCTCTTTTAAAATACGCTAAAAAGAAAAATGAAGAAAGAAGTATAGTATGTTGGAACAAATGTATACGTTAAAAAAATGTTTAATGCATTTCGTAAAATTTATTATTGCGTTTATTGGATTAAATTAATGTTTGGAAAGTAAATAATTTCAGTAAAGTTTAATTGGTATGCTGTATATTATATACTTATTAGCAAATCCAAAATAAAATTAATCGAATTATTTAGTAATTTTTAACAAGAAGCACATTACTTTTTGCCACAAAAACCATAAATACAGTTACTATAATTCTCTTTTGCTTTCAAAATTTTTTTTTTTTACATTTAACATTAGATTTATAACATTTCTTTTTTTAGGTTTAACATTGGATTCATAACGTTAGAAGCGAAACGATGCTTTACTTGTATAATTCGATTCGATTAAAAGAATTTATGCCAACATCGACGTGCTAAGAATCTAAGAAATACTTTTAACTATAAATTAATAAAGAAGATTTGTTAGAGAGAATGTATTGTTACAAACTTTAATGCGAAACTAACTTTAACCATTTCCTTTTTACTTGCACCAGTGACCCCAAAGATGCAAGCTCTTGCATTGTTAATCACTGGAAATGTCAATGTAATTCTCGACGACGGTGGCTTAGGCGAGTCATTTATCGGACACACCCATAAACTAGTTTCTTCTAATAATCGATGATTAGGAAACAACGAACAGGTATGGCCATCTGGTCCCATACCAAGAAGCAGGACATCGAACCTTGGTATGCTATCCGGTGGAAAATACACGGACATTTTTTTAATATAGTCTTTTGACGCGTCTTCGGCTAAAAGCAATGTTCAATAATTAATTTAGAAAAGCTTGGCTGCTTGGATATTTGATCTCAATAGTTGCGAAAGAGTACCAAACAATCGTTACCTGAAAGATCTGGATCAATTTTTATAAACTGATCTTCGTTGATAGGAACTTTTCCAATTAAGCTTGCTCTATACAATCCATATGTTGACTCACCATTCTCAAACGAAACGATTCTTTCGTCGCAAAAGAAGAATCTCCACTTGCTCCAATCTGTAGAGATGGAAGGAAGTCCTTCCGAAAGAAATTTCACCATCGAGCCCCCTTTGCAATAAAAAATTAGACAAATAACGTCGATAAATATCAATAAAAATCAATAATCTACAACAATCGCTTCGAAGGAGTAAAAAAATAAATAAATAAATAAATAAAAATACAAAAAAAATAGTATAACGACTTTGATGAATTTATTGCATCATTAAAATTCGACTTTTATCGTCGTCAAAGCTTAACCTTAAATACAACTTTTTAAATTGCCAGAATTAATTAATTTACATCCAAGTCCATTAAATGCAAAGCCCTGTTGATAGAGAAACGGCTAATTTCTCCTACGCATCATAAACGAACGGTTGACAATAATTAATAGTCGACGAGAAAACTTACCGGATAGGCCAATTTTGAAAATATCCTCTGTGTCAATCGCTTCGTTTGCACATTTCTCAATTATCAATGCGAGACGTTGCACGACACCGGATACGTCCGGTTCAATTAATATTTCCGACATTTTTTGCAAGTGAAAATAAAGCTAATATAATCGGCCAATTTCTTCGACAATCACATAACACACACAACACGCACGCGCACACACACACACACACACACACACACACATGCGCGTACGCACCGGGAAAAGCAGTTTTTCAATGTCAATGCTTAGATGCGAGAACGAGCGACCATGGGATGATCAGTGCTTTTTGTTGAATGATGATTAAAAGGCTTCGAGGAGACACCTGCAGAGGGCTTAAAGTTTTCCACTTAAAAAAAAAATGACTTTTCACCAGTGTTGGACTTGATGATTATTGCATTAGTATTACAATGTTATAAAGCGAAGCTTAAAAAATGGAATACATTTGTAGACTTTACTGTTTTAACAATGATGTAATTTAAATGCTTCAACTGGTCAGTGAGTTTTATTTTCATTTTAAGATCTATAAATTACATTTATATCTAATGGCAAAAGGGTGGTCGATTGTGATTTTGAATTTATCGTCCCAAATTGAAAATTATATATAGATACATATATATATATATATATATATATATATATGAGCATTGTATTAATTTTATAATATAGCAGCTATTCGATTGATATTCGATAGTTATGTTAGTATACTAGAGCCACGACTTTCTCTCTCTCTCTCTCTCTCTCTCTCTCTCTATGTTTCGTGTATACATATATTTAGACACCCGCAAACTAACGCACTCGCGCGCATATGCATACCGGCTATTTTAGTTAAATATTCGATAGATTTTATCTCTTCGCTATTTGTCATAAATATATATTACAAAAAATACAATTATAATCAACGCATATTTAAATTATTAGTTGGATAATAATAATTATAAACTGTCGCTTTTTAATTATATATCGTACTGGATTTACTAAAGCTATGCATTCCTAGAAATTAGCAACGTTAATTATCGCTACACATTCTACGTTTATTATTTAAAATAACTACAGATCTTTCAAATACGAATTTATAATACGTTTATGACTCGTTACTTATTTTCCCCCTCCCCGCCCCTCATACAAGCACAAAAATCGCAATATTATTATTCATCGCTCAGTTAGCTTGAGGGTGAAAAAATAAAGAGAGAGAAGGGAATGATGAGCGAAGAGGAAAGATATTTATTACATTTGAACGATATCGGCAATGACTGTTTCGAATTATAACCATAAGCTTAAGAACGTGTAAGTTCGTCGTTTTCGCGGTAAATGGCGTGACGAGCAGAGCGAATCTCGAAAGGATCGTCGACCGTTTCTGTCTACCATAAGTCCAAATCTGCGCCGCAGCGCCTCCATAAAAAAAATATCCGAAAAATCAGTATACCGTTAGCATTAGAAATTTGTTTGGACAAACGAGTAAATGTTTTAAAATACCGCAAACGTTGACATTTGTAGTATCAAGCGCGTACAGAGCTAATAATAGTTTTTTATAATGATTGTTAATGATAATGATTCCGACTGTTCTAAAACTGGAGAAGAGCTGAATTTATCCGAGGACACCGACAAGATCAAGTACTTAATACAGCAGCTACTACACCCTCAAATGCCAAGAACACTCGAGAAAAATCATGACAATTTTTCTTTTATTTTAAAAAAGTATCAGGATTTGCCTCAAATGCTGGATCCGTATCTCGACAGTTTTTTGAGCTCGCTCATTCAGCTCATAAGGGAGAAGGCTAATTTTAAAGATCTAAATAACTATGTCTTCAAATACATCTATATAATAATGAGCGTTAAAACTTATAAGAAGATAGCCATACATTTGCCGCATGAAGTAAGTGATTTTAACAGAGTCCTAGAGATGTTGGAAAAACAAGACATAGATGACAAGGATAATTGGCAGACGCGCTATGTACTTTTGATATGGTTGTCGATCATATGTAAAATCCCATTTGCCCTCTCCAGATTAGATACGATAAGTCCGTTGAACGAAAATCCACAGCAAAGTATTACGTTAAGAGTTATTGAAATTTGTAAAAAGTACTGTGCTTCGAAAGACTCCTGCTCCATTGCTGGAATATACTTAGTGGCTAACTTCTTAACCCGTTCCGACGTCAAGGATCATTATTTAGAAGATATGATATCGTGGTCATTAAATAATTTTCAAAAGGATAATTTAGATCACAGACCATTAGCAGTGATCGCATCCATTATTAAGCATAGTTGCAGAGACGACCTTGTGCCTTACAACCAATTGATTCTCGATAAAGTGTTGAGAGTTAAATTAAGTAACAATTCGGCGGATCTTGTTAGAAAGTATTTAATCAAAATTATTCAGCGCATAGGTACGGTCTTATTGAAACCAAATAGTCCTGCTTGGCACTATAAGAAAGCGTCAAAGACTATAAATTTATATACTCATCTGAACGAAACGAGTACTATCGAGTCTGCTGATATTGATAAGAAATTTTCTGTAGCTAAAATCGAAGATCATGAAATTCCACCGTGCATGGAAGATTTATTGGAATATCTTATAACTGGCCTACAAGACAAGTCATTAATAATTCGATGGTCAGCTGCCAAAGGAATTGGAAGAATAACAGCTCGATTACCTATTGATTTAGCAGATGAAGTACTTGGCTTTGTTTTGAACTTATTTTCATCTCGCGAATACGAAATTGCCTGGCACGGTGGCTGTTTGGCGTTAGCTGAACTGGGAAGGAGAGGTTTACTGTTGCCGTATCGATTAGAAATCATTATACCTTTGGTTATTAAAGGCTTACAGTTCGATGAACCCAGATCACACGGACCTATTGGCTCTATTATAAGAGATGCAGCGTGTTTTGTTTGTTGGTCTTTTGCAAGAGCTTTTGAACCAAATGTTTTTGAACCTTATATAGAAGATATTACAATAGCACTGTTAATTGTTACTTGCTTTGATCGCCAAATTAATTGTCGTAGAGCAGCTTCTGCAGCATTTCAGGAAATTGTTGGTAGACAAGGTAATTTCCCAAATGGCATCGATATAGTCTCTGCATCCGACTATCTTGCGGTAGGAGTTCGTAGTAATGCATACCTTAAGATCAGTGTATTTATTGCAAATTATGAAGGTTATTTGGAACCATTTTGTGAGCACCTTATACGCTGTAAGGTTGCTCATTGGGATATTGCAATAAGAGAACTTACGGCTAAGGCTTTATATAATTTGGCAGGACTTCGTCCAGATTATACAATTAACAAAATGCTCCCATTATTAATGGATTTTCTTACGTCGCCCGATCTCTGTCATTGTCATGGTGCTACTCTTGCCATCGCTGAAATTCTGATTGCCCTTCACGATATGAATAATAAGGATTTAATAGAATTTATAGAACAAACTTCATCAAAAATTCAAGATATAGTAGCTACATTTCGCAATCGTGGACAATTTAGAGGATTAGGTGGTGAAATATTGAAACAAGCTTGTGTCACTCTCATAAAAAATCTTTCGCTTATGCACTTTAGTATAGATTCTAAGAATATTTTAAACGATTGGCAAGATTTATTAGAAGAATGTTTAGGTAACGAAGTATCAACTGTAAGAATTGTATCGGCTGAAGCTCAAACAGCATTTTTAACTGAATATTATTTCTCTTGGAGCCTAGAAACGAGACACGATATTATAAATCGATATCTCAATAATCTGTTCTCTACTAATCAAGCGAACAGAATTGGTTTTGCCCAAGCTATTGGCTACTTTCCAGTATCCGTTTTAGAAGAGAAAGGTCAAGATATATTTAAGAAGCTTATAGAAAGTTGTGATATGACCAAAGAAACATTATTATGGGCTGAAAGCAGAAAGGAAGCCATTAATTCTTTAAAAAAATTATGTGAAACTTTAGGTCTTCCAAAAGCAGAACAATGGAAATGCTTTTTAAACGACTTGTACAATTGTTATTTCAATGGGCTCGCAGACTATACGAATGACAACCGTGGTGACATTGGCTCTTGGGTAAGAGAGGCTGCAATATCTGCAATCTTTTCCCTAACAAATTTAGTTTATCAAGCTGGATATTCCTCTGTTTTGACGGAAGAATTGATGGGAAAAATTATTGGAGGCATATCTCAACAAGCAGTCGAGCGCATAGACAGAACGAGGGCTAAAGCAGGATCCACGGTTTATGCTTTGATTGAAAGTGAATTACCCAATATTCCATACCATAAGGAGCTCAAAACATTATTTTCAAATTTTGTTGACGGTAACGATGAAATGTACATAGATTGGAAATCTGAGAGCGAGACAATTCCACTTTTCATAGAAATGTTGTCATTTCCACCATATATTTCACCTATACTGAGAGGTATCATTTTTAGTATGGGAGGATTATCAGAGTCACTGGTAAAATATTCCACCATGTCATTACAAGAGTATCTCATGAGCATTAATAAAGAGAAATTCTGGAAAATTAGTAAAGAAATGTGCCATATATTTGAAACTTCTCACGGGGATGATCGCATGATCTGTGCAAGTCTGGCCTTTCTAGATCGTTTAATGAACGGAGTAAATCTTTTAATGATTTATAGCGATCCTGAAAATGAAGTAGCTGTACGTATATTAAATTTTGCTAAGACAGAAAGCAAGTGTGTGAAAACAACGCAGTCTCAAATCAATATTGTAAAGATCTTTTGTCATCTGTTGTATACTGGTGGTTCAACGTGCAAGAGTGCCTTCTCACAATTAAGTATGTATCTCTGTCACAAATTTAAATATATAAGAAAAACGACGGCTTATCTTTTGTATGAAAATTTCGTATTGTATGGACGTGACTTTGCATTAAGCACGCAAGATTTAGCCACAGTTGTGCACCAGTTGAATGTTGTTGATTGGGAGCAGCCTGTTGCAAACTTACGACCAATCAGAAATGAATTGTGTAAGATTATGGAAAATTTTCTTCCTTAAAATGGAACAAACCGTTAAATAAAACAATGAACTGTTAATTGTTTTTGTACTCTGCTCTTTTCACTTGTATGATCGATAACTACAATAATAAATTTGATATTAAGTATTACAGAGTAAATTTACTGAGAGACTAATACATATCTATGTGCGTGTGCATGTACACCTGCATATATTTATGAAAATGCATATGTACATATTTGGAAAATCAGAGGCGTTAGCAACGGAGTGTCAGAATACATTATTTAATAATTGTATTAAGTATCGAGAGAAATCATTATTATCGATCATTTTATTCTGATCTAAGAATATTTCCAAGGATATCTACTCAAGAAAACGTATTTGTTCTTATAATTGTGAAGAATTGCCAATGCTTATCAAGAACAAAAGTAAAGAAAACAAAATTAACTAATTGCAGAATTAAAATTTATTGAACTAAAATCTAAAATACAAATAAGCATATTCTACATTAATATTCGTTTGTAAAAGTTACAAAAATTACTGTATTTCTATATTAATAAAATATTTTAATATCCATGCGTTAATCTAAAATAGAATATTAAAAGAAATAAAATGAATTATTTACTGAAAAAGAAAAATAATATAAGTATGGATGAATTTATAGTGATTAAACAATAATGCTTATAAGATATATTTATAATCTGTGTATATAGTAAGTGGGAAATGTTATTTTAAAATTATACGTAATATATAATGTAAGTTTTATATATATATTTTTTCAAATTTGCATAATTTCTCTATGCGACTATGAACATTAATTTGAAACTTAATCGTATGACTGAAAACCTTTCGTCTTTCGCTGTTTTCTTTAAAGTTGATTATAGCTTTTATTTCTGTTATATTGTTACAATTCATTTATATTTGAAAATTATATTTTATCCAATAATACATCGATAATAATATTTTACTCTTATTTATTGGCATTTATTTTAATAAATATTTCAAATAAAGTTTTAAAATCATTTTGTTAAATAAAAATAAAATTTTGTCGTTTCTCATTTTGTAAATAACAAGAAGAATAAGTTATTTAAAAATTTCAGTGAAATATTATATCGAATTATTATTTTATTCTTTTTCGTTCGCTCTAAGATACATGGTATTGCACGACTGAAATACAAAACTATTTTATTTCGTTTTAATGCGCTATTTGTTTTGTACATTTAAATTATAAAACAGATTGGTTTAAGAACAAATTCTTAAATTATTATACGCGAAATTATCTTTTAATCAATACGCTTGTTATTCATTTTCATCAACTTTATTGTGTTTGTTAAGTGGCCTTTGAAGAAAGTATTGTGAAGTTGTAATTTTTTCAAAGTGGCAATTTCAAATTGCAAAGCATTTTTACTGAATTAAGCAATGCAAAACCATTCATAGTCATACAAATTTTAATTACATGCATTAGTGCCTCCAATTAAGATCCTTTGCTTAATTCAAGCTAATTATTTATATTATTTTTACGAGATTAAAAATATACCATTTTGCTTATATATTTACTCAAATATTTAACAAATTTACTATTTTATGTACTTATGTCAAATAACTCATCATCGTTACGCTAAAACTTAATTTCCATTTGATGCAGAATTTGTTGTCAATTTGGTTTCTTTTATGATTTACTAATAAATATTACATGCTGATCATATGTTTAAGTTTAATTAGCGTCGAGTACATTTGCTGTATTATTAACTGTAATTTGATATTTAAGAAATTCCTTGTGGAGAATCATCGCGGTATTTTATTACATTTAATGGCAATTGAATTATATTATTAGTAGCGTAACTGGCAATATTTTCTTATATCATTGCCATTCATTATATTTGGTCTATTGTGTTTAATTTTGCTTTAACTTGTTAATAATTGTTATTCATAAAACGTGGCTTTCTTTTAGCATTTATATACTATACTCATAGTCATTCTGTACGTATAACTACTATAGACATTTTCTCAATTTATATTAATTACAAAATTAATATATTAATTATTATATAAATAAGGCATTAATTATAGGAAATTATGTTTTCATACGTACACAAAAATATTTTAATTTATATTATATTATATTATATTAGTTTAGAATATGCATTTGTGTATTTTTTTATGTATCAAACAAATTCTGTTGAATCTCAATTTTAGTAGTATTATATATATATATATATATATATATATATATATATTTAAAAAAAAAAAAAAAAAAAGTAACGGAACAAAAGATCTTTCACTATTCAAAGTATTAAAATAAAATTAATACACAAGACAAATTTTATTCTGTAAAGACTTGGAAAATAATTTTTATAATGCTTTTTAACATGCATTATTTAAATTAAATTATATTTAATTCCCTTTCTAATCGTTTATAATGTTGTGTATCAATTAAAATTAATATTATTAATTACACTTACTATTAACAATTTTCCATTAATTGTTTTATTTTTTTACATTACGCAAAGCAAAATAAATAATAATAAAAAGAGTATTTAATTCTCATATAAAATGAGGAAAAACATTTAAATACAAATTTACTTATATAGATTAATTAACAATGTATTTAGTATTGGGAATATCTAATATTCTAATTTTAAGTTTCTGATATTGTATTAAACATTATTTCTTTCATTCTGAATAATGACATGTTAAATTTTATACGAAACACTAAAAGTGAATCCTATGATGTACTCGAACAATTTTAATCAAAATTGTAAATGCGAAATAATTACATGAATTACATTGTAATATTAAAATACTATGAAGGCATAATATCAGCAAGAGAATGTTGGAAAGGAGGATGATAAAATATTGTAAGAAAATGAATAAAAGTTAATTGGTAATGGTTATTAAAGTAGCGAAGAAATTTATATGTATGCAGTGTGCTTGATTAAAAGTGTGCGGTTAATTATATTTTTCATGCATTAAATTTTATATATTAAAATTAATGTATGCTCTGTGTGTGTTGTTGTGATACAATACATAGCATATGATACTGCAAACTTATACATATATATTATTTGAAATGATAATTGACATATGTATGAATGAAGTTTATGTATTAGGTCAAGTAACGCACATATGCTTTATAATTTTCATAGATTAAAGTGATTACTAAAAGTTTTAAATAAAATAGATAAATTAATATAACTTTATAAAAAGAAAATGTAAACTTTATATATACGCACGCACACGCACACGCACGCGCACGCACGCGCGCGCGCGCACACACACACACACACATTTTATAATATGTTCATTTTGTAATACATATTACAAAATAAAAGCAGAATTTATAATGCCTTTTAGGGCATAAAATATTGCTGTCATTAGAAGTTATTATTAATTCGTAAATTCATGTCTATCGTATAACAATGTCATATATATTGCTTATTTATTTGAAAAATTATATAACTATGATCGAACATAGTAAAAAAGTATTTCTTTCTAGTAATATAAAATTAATTTTAAATATTTACTTTTTATATGCATGTAATTATACATTTTTTGTAATATAAAAAAAAATCAAGATAAAAAAGAAATTATATCGAAATATTTTTACTGTTTCTAATTTTATACTTAAATTTAATGTTATATATTTTATAAACATTATAATTTTTTCCATTCCCTTATCGACTCACGTTTGAAACAAAAAGAATTCTTCGAGAAAGTAAGGAAGAAACAATATCAGAATTTGAAAGAAAACTATTGGGTCAATTAAACAAAAAAGTAATAGAAAACCCTTGTTTTTTTTGTTTTCGTATTTGTTTTGTTTGTTTGTTTGTTTGTTTGTTTGTTTTTTTTTCATATATTCCTAACAAAAATTTTATATGATTATGTAGTGAGAGAAAGATCAATTATTGTATTACATATACTTATATTTTCTGTAAATATTTAAAAAAAAATTATATTTTATGGATTGTGCAAAAAAGATTAAATTTATGAATGAAGAAACTATTATTGTAAAAAACCAGCGAACAAATAATTATCAATAATGTAATAAAATTAATATGATTTTTAACATATTAATACGATGAAATATAAATATTTATAAATTATATGTATAAAAAAATACTAGAATTATAATTTTACAATAAACTATTAAGATTGTCTTTTGCAATTGTTTTTAAATATCAAATTTTTGAAAATATTTGTATCAACGGCATATTCGAATATCTTATTTAAAAATTATTTTTAATATCCATTATAAAGTCTACATAATAATTAACAATCAGATGAATGTTTACTTTTTCTTTATTAAATGGTTGTTCTGGTAGTGGAGATGTTTGTATACTAATAGCTATTATCTTATTGTCAACTAAAACTGGACTTCCACTGTCACCCTAGAAAATAATATGCGTTAATGAGTTGAACAATAAAAATAGAAAAAAATATGAAATATTTTTAATTTAAAAGTATTGAAAGCCGTTATAATGATATATCTAGATATATATATATATATATATATATATATATGTATATATATTGAATATAATGATCTCTTTCATTTTTATATATATATATATACTTTGATAGTTATTTTGTGCGTGTGTGTGTGTGTGCGTGCGCGTGGACGTATTTGGGCGTATTCAATCAAAAGAGTATGCGAAGCTTTTATCTGCATTAAAATGAAATGCTATTTCATTTTTTTATATTTTAATTTATTTTAATTTGTTGTTAATGATTTTATCCTGATATAAGTTAATAGTATTTTATTTTATTTAAATAAATGTCTACTAATTATAAAAAAAAAATTATTCTTTATTAACAAAGGTAATAATTATTGATTTTTCTTATAAACTGCAATAATATTCAAAGTTTTTTCAAAATTATGTTATTTTTCGATTATATCGTTTTTTAATTTTTTTATTCTATCTACATAAGCAATTCTACTTTTGTTTTATTTTCACTTATTTCATAAAGTAAATAGATGAATAAGGAAAATAAAAAATGTTATTTAGCTAATATATGTTCGAATGCATTACTTATTAGTAATTATTTCATGTTATTGTAAAAAAATAAAATTGATATAATATAATTAATAGAACATTGGGAAATGAAGCTTACAAGATGTTCTCAAAATTGAGTTAATTAGGTAATAATAGTGAAGTGTTACATATTTAATTTATTGCTAATATTTCATAAAAGAAAAAAAATTATGATAACGAATTGAATTGCTTTTGCAAATATTACGTACAAAATTTATCGCGATATTGATTTCTGTTCAACACACGATTCTACTAAAATTGATGTCGAAATAAATTTTTAACCGCGCATTATCAAATTCTGTTCGAAAAAAAAGGAATTATTATAGAGTATTAATTATTTTATAAAACACACTTTGCACAGTAATGTATTATGGATGAGTGAAAGTTACTATAAAATTTGTATTTACCGTAATGCTTAAAGTGAAATGGAGCCTCGGAATTAGTTTTTTTATACCCAATTGACTGTTTTATAAGCATTTTTTTACTTACTATTTAACACACATAACCGTTGTTTGTATATCAATAGAATTATATTTGCAATAAATAAGTGTGCTATTTCAATATTAAAAGAAAAAAAATACTTAAAATCTATTATATAAATATAATGTCTATAAAAAAAAAATGCATAATTTATCTCGAAATCGAAATTTTTGAAAATGGTAAGCAAAATCATCGACCGAGTAGCTCAAAAGAAAGCAATGAAAGCAATCTTTCATTATTACAATTCATGAAGTACTATGTGCTTAATGAACGATAACGAGAAATAATTTATATATTTACAAAAGTCAAAAGTGCAGGCGGATTCCCCACTGTGCATATAAATCTAAAATGAATTTCAAGCTTATATCCATTAAGTTTTTCAATTCTGCTTTCACAATCTGCCTTAGATAAAATTGTCAATGTAGCGGATTCAAGGAGCCTTGGTGTCCTGCCATCACTTTTAATGCCCCAACCGGCTGATTTAACGTCTACTCCAGGTAAGAAGTTACTCAAAGTAGTCGATATAATCGGAAAATTTATTGTATCTGATACGTTCTTAGTCAACTAAAAGAAAATACCTTCTTAATGGATTTTTAAATAAAACGAACTATATATATATATATATGTGTGTGTGTGTGTGTGTGTGTATTTGTGTGTTTGTGTGTGTGTGTGTGTGTGTAAAGCTTGTACTATTACAAAAATTAATCAATAGGCAGCTTACCCTTATAATACTAATGTCATTAAGTAAAAACCTGCTTATTCTATCTTTTCGTTCAATCCACGATTCAAACGTTATCCACCATTCGGGAAGATATTTCTCACCATTCCTTAAATCAATCGAGCCGACAATGATTTCAATTTCATCGAGCTGTTGATACATCAAACAGTGCGCGGCTGTCAAAACATCTCTCCTTGAAACGAGTGATCCTGTGCAAATGTGATTTTTCTCCGATCGAATGTTTTTACTATCTATGAGCATGATCGAAACGATAAAGTCAAAGCCATTGCCTGCTACTACTTTCACATTATCACCCTCCAAAGCCTTTAAATTCACGAGGCGAAATTGAATACCTAAGATGTAAGGCTATCGATTCAATATCATGATTTTAATAACAAAGTTGTTTTATTGTATTATTATTTATTTATTTTTTTATTTTTTTTTTTTTTTTTAAATTTTTTCTTATTTACTTACATAAAACTATACATTGAATGACGAGTAAGTAAATTTTGAGCCCCATATTTATTACTTCAATGTAAAATAAAACAAAAACAAAAAAAAAATGAGTAAATCAATACAAATATTATGGAGAAATTTAATCAAGTCACTACCTAATCTATATTAAGTTTTCAAATGCCTGAATTCTTATGAATTTAGTATATTAACTGAATGATCGATAAAATCTATTGTAGTTTGTCAATTATATTTTTTTTTATCTTAAGATTGAATAATAAAAAAATTTCTTTAACATCTGATATGTAAAATATTTTAAATACTCAAACATATTTATGCAACCTCAATTCCCCACCAAATTCAATAAGAAACAGTAAATATTAATAGTAAATAATGATACATACAAAGCTATTAAGCAATTTATATATATATATATATAAAATAATTTAAATACAATTTTTAAATTGTTTTTAATTTGTTATTGTGAGCAGTTTAATAAACAGGAAATCAAATATGCTTCTATTTTATAATAAAACAAATTAAAACAAAAGGAAAAAAAAAGATTACTTAAAAGTAATATTAATTTTAGCGCTAAAACATATGTAGGATAAATGTGTTATATATTCAATCGCTATTTAAAACTATTAAATTGTCATCGAAATCTTATTGTGGGTATAATAGATTCTATACGTATGTATTGAGATAAGAATGACAAATAATAAAAAATTATTAATCGATATTGTTACTGAGTCGTGAAGTTAGAAAAACAATGAAACACATTTTACATTGATTAAAAGTTTGAAACGGCAAATTTCATGTTAACATTAATTATATTAAAATATATTAATACTTTACATGAGATAAAAACATATTATTTTGAAATTACTTCACTAATCGAGTCTTACTCATGCAAAATATTTTATTTCCATGCTATAAGATTTAATTATAATGAAAGCATAATAATAATAAATTTATAAATATTTTAAATATTCTAATTAATAAATGGCGATAGAAAATAGAATAGAAGAATAGTAATTTCGTAGAAAGCGTTTGGATGATAATAAAAGTTGATTACAGGCTGATTATAATATTCAATACTTATCTACTTTAAAATTATACAATTAAAATTACTTTATGATCTATGATCGAATTATATTATTTCATTCTTTTTAATAACGCTTTCTCGATAGAAATAATCATCTGAAAAATTTGTCATTCATTTATTTTTTCTCATTAATTATCATATTTCATCATATATCAATTGCTTAAAATCTACGCAATAAAGACCTATTTGAATAATTTTAACTGAATTTAGTCAATCAAAATTATTTCCATAAATATTAGATGACATAGTATTAACATAAACTTTTACGAACAATTATTTTTGTCTTTGAAATTAATGGTAATGCTATAGGAGGTAATATTTAAATCTGGAAATCTCGATTCATCAACTAAATTCTATTGAAGATCACGACAAAAAACTAATACAATTTGAAAATGAAAAAAAAATGCTTTATAAAACATTCTTAGATATGCATATACACATAAATGAATGTATGTATGGGTGCAACTAAAACTTTCGACCATTGGTTTTCATTTCTGAATTTACTTTTACCCGTTACCTCCAGCACGGCATTTTATTCGCAAATATGTAGCTTTTTTTTACTTTTACATATATGTACTTTAATGCATTTAATTATGTCTTATTATAATAGTAATGAATTTTTAAAATTAATATACTAATTTTATATGGAACCGAGTTTTAATTTAATGTTGTAAATGAAATGAATAATGGCAGTGACATAATATAAATGGAGAATTAATATCGCAAAACTCTTATAATATTTATTAACTTATTTATTAATAACATATTGATTATTATGTTTTTAAGTCTCCAATGAATATTATAATATAATATTATAATATAATATAATATAACCAATAGTGTAAGGTGACTAATAAATTGAAAACTTAAAAGTGATAACAATGATTATTACAATCCAAATTATAAACATGAATATCAGTCGTATTATATATTTAAACTTAATTATAACATATTTACATTATTAAATAAATATATCCATGCATTATAATTTGATACAATGAATTAAATTAAGAATTATATGTTAAACGTGAAAAGTATTGAAATTTCAATGACAATGAATTACGCTGACTTAATCCATTTACCAATTAAATGATGTATTATATATATTTAAAAAAAAAAAAAAAATGCATTAATACTAATTATAAACATTGCATTTATATTACGAGTCGAACAATATTAAAATTTATTTGAAGTTTTAATATTAATCCCTTAAGCTTAATTATTATTAAAGTGATTATTATGGAAGTTTAAACGTTTATACAATAAATTTCAAAATATAATTATAACAACAATGATTATTGTATCAAGTACTAACATGACGTTTCACAGTTAATTATATTAGGTAATTATTAAGACATAGCAATTATCATAAAGATTACATATATATATATATATATATATATATATAACATTAAATAATAAAATTTAATATATAAATTTAATTTAGATAAATGAAGGATAATATAGCTCGGGATATATTGTTTAATTCCTCCTCCCTCCCCCCCTCTTTTTTTTTTTAAACAATTAGTCCATAAGCTTTGATTTCAAAAGCAAATGCTATGAAATAGAAAAAATGTCGATGAAGTTAAGCTACTTCATCGTACTATGATGGTTAATTAATTAAAACGTAATTCATTTTATTCTGAAATGTTCAATGTTCAACTCGAACATTCAAAATTTGTCATATTACTTCATTAAAGGGTTATAAGTTATATATAAATATCAAACACTTGTTAGAATCCAAAAAAATATCTTTTATCTAAATTAAGAACCATAAAAGATATAACGTTTTTATTTAATGACATCGAATATGTATATATCGAATATATATATATATATATATATATATATATATATATATATATATATATGTGCATACATGGTACAGTATTTTAATCGTAACATATTTTATTTTCTTATTTAAATATTATTCAAAAGAGTCTTTGATTATCGTCGAACAAATAAAATGCTCTATATACAGAGATATAGATTACCATCTGTAAAGTATTGTAATAGTATAAAAAATATTTGCCTTTATGTGAGCAGTATGGCTAATGATATTTTAAATTATATAATATCCAATAAATTATTATTTAATATTTCAAGCCAAGTGTAATAGTCGTATCTTAGAATGAAGAAACATTGAATGAAAATGAATTTAATTTTTTGGAAAGAAGACATCATCTGAGATGCAATCTATTTTGATAAAGTAATCTCTAATGGAATATGTTGCTATTACATAGCTGATTGTCCTCTGTAAAAGAAGATTCGCGAACAATAGTAGATGTAATGATCGTTTTATAATAGAAATTTTCCATTTAGAGGTGTTTTTATTATTAGATTGAATTAGTTATCTTATTTTTTTTTTTTTTTTTTTTTATAAATCTGAGATAATCGTAAGATAAACGTAAACATTGGATTGAAAATTTAAAATAATATATTATACTATTTGTAATTATAAATACGTTTTTATGGAGTTCCATTACGTCTTTATATAGATTCAGTTATTTTTAATTTAATATCGTTGATATATTTTTAATTTAATATTGTATAATGCATTCCAAATCTATGGCTTGAATTAAAATTAAAGTTTATTTTGTATTTGCTCTCATTTATTTCTCCACGAATGCACGATGGCTTTTAATGATATAATTAATCAAATTTGGCAGATTAATATTTTTCGGCTTGAATTAATTTTTTGATATGTTGATATTTATAAGAATTTTGAATAATTGTTTAATCATATACTTGTAGATTCATTATTTTAGTCGTCTATTTGTATTGGCATAGAATTTATTGAATCTCATAAAATTTCAAGTTATACAAAATGAAATGAAAAATTGTATTATTTATATAGTATTTTGATTTTGACAAGTTGTAATTAATTCATTTAACGCTGTCGATTTAATCTTATTATGTAAAGATAAAAACATCGAACTTTGTCTGCATTTGTTCTTGTTGCTGACTCAAAACAAAATGTTCTTCTAAAGGAATGTTACACAATTTTGATAAGTACAATGTATAAAAATCTTTACAATTATAGTTTACTTATTCTTATTCTATGTATGTTTTTGTTAACATTCAACGATACAGGCAAAGTCTAAATATTCTCTCGATTCGTACATTTCACAAATTCCTTAACAAAGATACGATTCTCTCGTAAATATTCACCAATTAATGCGTATAAATATCATATTCCTTTTTAACTATTTTGTATCAATAAAATTTTATTCGTTGCGTAGAGTATTGCGATTAAATCTATGAAAGTGTTTGATCTATAACAAATTTGTTTGTTGTAGTTTTTTTTGTTGTAATTATATTAGAAGTAAACGAGGGAAATTTAGAATAAATAATTATAAAAACTTCGGTAGGATATTGGTGGAAAAATAACCCATTAACAAATTCTAGTTATAAGGTTTATGTCTATATATATTTAGTTCTATATATAGTTATAGTTCGTAACAACCAACTAATTATTAAGTTATATTATTAACTATTGGTTATAACAAAGGTAAAACGAATAAAACAAATCTAGCAGTATCAATCTATAATTAATTTATATTTAGAAACAATATTTTAAAACAAGCATACGTCATAATTTTATTGCACTCTATATACAATATAATTTTATTTTTTATGAGATATACTCAGGCATTCTTTACACTTGAAATAAAATAGTTATAGTATTCTATAACCAAATGAATATTCACTGCAGATGTACAAGGTTGTTTTTCTGGATCAGGACACGCGCTTAGATTAATGCCAATAATTTCATCATTGTATACTAAAGGACCTCCAGCGTCACTCTAGAAAAGTAATATTTCATGTTATATATTTTAAAATATACTTAAATGCCCATGATCATAATTACGGATACGTAGATTAAATATGCGCCAATATAATTAATGTTAACGATAAAAATATCTCCTGATTTGCAAATAAGTGTCTTAATATTTAATTAAAGTTAATGGCAACGTAAGCGCGCGAGTAAAACAACGTTACTGTATTTATTTAAATACTTTATTTAAAATTATGCTAATATTAATGAAATATTAATTGATATTTTATGATTCGGCTCTGTTTTATTACCATAATAATATACAAAATGATTTGTTTACCATATTAAGATACTACTTTTTATAAAAATATTCAATAATTATAGACAGAGCATAAATCAAATTATGAACAATTTTATTTTTAATTAAATGTGCTAGAAATAAGATTTACAATTAAATTTATTTTTATTAATTACATATTAAAAATTGATATTTATATCTTAGTGTATACCTATAAATATTATTGACACGGCAGATAAATTAAGTATAAAGCAGAAATTAACGTAGAAATTACAAAATATTGCATAAAATTATTTATAATTATCGAAATTTGTTCAAAGTCTATAAAATAAATTATTTATATAAATAATTTGGATAATACTATTGCATTATTATTTAAATGATTTCCAACTAATTATTATTTAACTACGATTGAATATTGTAATTATTATTTTATTAGCAAATTTTATTTTATATGTAGAAAATATTATAAATAATTAATACGAATATAGTTTATTAGATTAAATTATTACAAATAGCAGAAAACGAACTATTTATAAAAAAAAAAAAAGAAAAAAAATCAAACTGTCGTTTGAATTTAAAAATATTTCGACTGAAATATGTAAGATTTGTAGTTTCCATTATTTATTATCAAATTCAATTCAATAAAGGTCAATACAGTTTTATTATTATAAATTTTTTAAGATTTAGGATACCAATAATAATCCTCTTATTTCTCGTATATTCAATTAAAATTCCGAGAATATACATTCAATTATATATATATATATATATATGTATATATATGACATAATTTTGTTATAAAAGAAAATTAGACTTTTCATTTAAACGCTATATAACTATAAGATAAGAACGGAGTAATGTTTGAAAATAATAAATTTCTAGGTATCAAAGCATTAATAATTTAATTGTATAGTAAATACTATACAGAATTATATTATTAATTTTTTAAATTCATTTAAATATTTTATTATTATAGTACAATCTGAAATGAAATAGAACAGTAAAATTTTAAACTGTTACTTTATAAATGAAAAGAATTGTCGGTCTGTAGTAATAGAAACATAATGTGGAAAACATTTTATCTCTATCGCGACGAAACAAATGTGTTTTAGTTTATTATTATTATTATTATTATATATATATATATATATATATATATATATATATATATATATATATATATACATATATTCTGTTGTAAAAAAATGTTTGTAATTTCAATTCCACACACATTACATTTTAATATTTTATTCAAAAATATTATAATTAAGTATTTAAATCATATTATATTATGAATATTCCGAATGATGCTTTCATCGGTTATTATCACAAGTATGAATTTCATTGAGTAAAACTTTGTAATTTACAAAAACTTATGAAAATAAAATCAAGTATTTTAAAGGATTTATCTACGATTTGCCACGAAACGCGCTAGAACTTGACAAAAAAACAAAATACTTACGCGTTGTAACAATACTTCTGGTTCTGCTATAGAACAAACAAACCTAAGTGAGACAGTATCTTTTATTCCTAGCATCGATTCAACTTTATTTTCGCATGCGAAATTAGTTATAATTTTCAGATTTGCAGCATTCATCTTTGGATTTATTTCGCCATTAGAAAATTTACCCCATCCTAATGCAACAACTTCTAAGTCATATAAGCCATAAGTGATCGTACGCGAAATAGTTGCTGGAGTAACATCATGTACTTCATGAGCTAACTACAAAAGATAATTCTCTTATTAATGAGAGAGTTATTGTAACTTTAAAATTATTTCTTTTTCATTGAATTCAAGCAATTGTCTTTCGTTCGCTTGAGTATAATTATTATAGAATGAGAATATATTATCAATCATTTACGGGAATTATATCTTTTTTATTGTATTACTTTTATTTTCAAATTGTTAGATCTAATAGTACTTCAATAGTAAAATAATTTACCCTTAGTATAGCTATGTCGTTATGATTAAATGTTTTTGAAATCCTTTGACTGGCAGTCCATTGATCATACGTAACCCACCAAGCAACACCATACTTCTTACCATATCTGAAATCATTTAATCCAACCATTGCTAACAAAGAAGCTAACAATTCGTGTGCTAAGCAGTGCTCAGCAGTTAATACATCTTTCATTGAAATTAGAGCACCAGAGCAAAAATGAGTTTCGGTCAGCTGATTATTTATTGTACTAATTCGCAAGAGAGACGTGACAAAGGGATATTCGCTTGATCTTACCAAGCGAACATTTTCACCAAACAATGCTTGTGCAACATGATTTAGATTACCTAAATAACAATAAAGTTAAATAAATCGAGGTGTACAATTGCCAAATTTTTACTAATTTGTTGTTGCTATTATTTTAATTATAAGCAAAATTGAAAATATACTTGTTGTACTTACAGAATAATATTAATTGTGCAGTAAAGTAAAAAATCTGGAAATTCATACTGAAAACTTACAACGAATGAAAATGCCTTTCAAAATAATCCTAAATAATGATAAAAATAATAACAAATGCCAAAAATAATGATAAAAATAATGAGAAATTTTATGTTTATTAAATGGATATTTTTGATAAATTGTCTTCGGTAATTTTATACAGTTTTATGCTATATTATTGATTTATGCGAATATTGATACATGAATATATGTAATTTATATTAAAAAAAAAAAAAAAAAAAAAAAAAAAAAATTTCAGGCTGTAATATGATAAAAGTATATACCTCGTCGATTTTCCGTTTACGAAAATGATGGATAAAAACTATTACTGTATATTAATATATTTATAAAAGTAAATAAAAAAAACAATACAATTTATTTCACTCTTATTACAAGCTTATGAACATTGTTTAAATTATTAAAATTAATTTTATAAAAATTTATTAATAGCTTCCAAGCGATAAAAAGTACATTAATTTTTTTTTTTTTTACAATTTTTAATTTTGTTTTTTAGACGTCAAATTATTAGATATCAGTTTTTTAATTTCCTTCCTAATTGGATGCACAGTATTTTATTTCACGGCTTTGGCGTTCAATTATAAAGTAAAATAAAGAAATAGTACATTTTTATTATCTGTTTCATTAAATTGGCTTTAGACTGATTTTATTTTTGTAATACTTACCTACTTTAAAGATTAAAAGCTGAAATTACTTCTGATCTATGCTAGAATTGTTTAATTTCAATCCTTTTTAATAATGTATTTTCTTTGAATATATTTATTTTAAACATTTTTTTCATTTGTTATTTATATTACTCATTAATTATCATATTTCTTCACATTCGTACATATATCACTTGCTTAACATATGTTAAGCAGATATGTAATAAAAACTTAAACTGAATTTAATTAATAAAAAATTATATCGATACACGTTATGATTACATTGTGTTGATATATAAACTTAACGTAGAAATACGTTTGTTTTTCAAAACGTTAACTTGAATAAATTTGTTTAATTTTCGTTTTATTTTGGTCTGCTTGTGGCATTTCAGATAATATTTAAATATGAAAAAACGTCAATTTATCTACTTTGTTTTCATAAAAATATGTTACCAAAATCATTATTATTTTTAAAAGCGAATGATAGCCTCAAAACTTATATATTGTCAAAGACGTATCCTAACAATTAATTAGTTTAACATTAATCTTCTTTCTTATATGGTTCTTATATGATTGTCTAAAATTTAAAAAAAAAAAGCAATAAAAATATTATTGATTAATTAATTTTATAATGAAGTATTTATACTGATTGAATGTATTGAGGTATTTGTCGCGACTTTGTGGTTCGGTAATAATAATATTACAAATAAATATCAATTATATGTATCATTCTATAAATACATATAAAAAGGTACGTACATATACACGCATATTTGGATGTAGACATGTAGGCATGGGTGCAACTAAACCTTTCAACCATTGGTTTTCATTTCTGAATTTACTTTTACCCGTTACCTCCAGCACGGCATTTTATTCGCAAATATGTAGCTTTTTTTTACTTTTACATATATGTACTTTAATGCATTTAATTATGTCTTATTATAATAGTAATGAATTTTTAAAATTAATATACTAATTTTATATGGAACCGAGTTTTAATTTAATGTTGTAAATGAAATGAATAATGGCAGTGACATAATATAAATGGAGAATTAATATCGCAAAACTCTTATAATATTTATTAACTTATTTATTAATAACATATTGATTATTATGTTTTTAAGTCTCCAATGAATATTATAATATAATATTATAATATAATATAATATAACCAATAGTGTAAGGTGACTAATAAATTGAAAACTTAAAAGTGATAACAATGATTATTACAATCCAAATTATAAACATGAATATCAGTCGTATTATATATTTAAACTTAATTATAACATATTTACATTATTAAATAAATATATCCATGCATTATAATTTGATACAATGAATTAAATTAAGAATTATATGTTAAACGTGAAAAGTATTGAAATTTCAATGACAATGAATTACGCTGACTTAATCCATTTACCAATTAAATGATGTATTATATAAATTTAAAAAAAAAAAAAAATGCATTAATACTAATTATAAACATTGCATTTATATTACGAGTCGAACAATATTAAAATTTATTTGAAGTTTTAATATTAATCCCTTAAGCTTAATTATTATTAAAGTGATTATTATGGAAGTTTAAACGTTTATACAATAAATTTCAAAATATAATTATAACAACAATGATTATTGTATCAAGTACTAACATGACGTTTCACAGTTAATTATATTAGGTAATTATTAAGACATAGCAATTATCATAAAGATTACATATATATATATATATATATATATATATAACATTAAATAATAAAATTTAATATATAAATTTAATTTAGATAAATGAAGGATAATATAGCTCGGGATATATTGTTTAATTCCTCCTCCCTCCCCCCCTCTTTTTTTTTTTAAACAATTAGTCCATAAGCTTTGATTTCAAAAGCAAATGCTATGAAATAGAAAAAATGTCGATGAAGTTAAGCTACTTCATCGTACTATGATGGTTAATTAATTAAAACGTAATTCATTTTATTCTGAAATGTTCAATGTTCAACTCGAACATTCAAAATTTGTCATATTACTTCATTAAAGGGTTATAAGTTATATATAAATATCAAACACTTGTTAAAATACAAAAAAATATCTTTTATCTAAATTAAGCATCGTTTTATCAACTAAATAAATTTTAATTAAGCCAGCAAGTACAAATAAGTTATATCGTTTATTCTTTAATGACATCAAATATGTATATATACATGTATACGATTTTTATCTCAACATCTTTTATTTGCTTATTTGAACATTAGGTAAAATAGTAAAATAAAATAAAGTTTTTAAACAATGTTAGGATAAATTTATGTAGGCAATACAGCCAATGCTATTTTAAATAAAAAATAATCAAGAAATTATGATATAATATATTTAAGCATTTATATGTGTTAATAATATAATATTAATAATGTTAATTTTTGCTACTATTTCTTGAGGCGTATAATCAAGGTATATTCTTCACCTCTGAAATAAAGTCTTGATAATATTGTGTAACTAAATGGATATTTAATTTGTTTGGATCAACGATATATTCATCCTCTGGAACTGTAGATATACTAATGCCAATGATTTGGTTGTTATATAATAAAGGACCACCGCTGTCACCCTAAACAAATTATATCACGCATTCTATATTTTATAATGTACGTAAATAGTTATAATTTTATAATGGAAAATGAAATGGTATAATGAAAATTCACGTGTGCGTTGATAATAAAATAGCTCCTGATTTGGAAATAAGTGTCTTATTCAATCAAAATTCATATCAACTTAAGTACGCAAGTGAATGTTCATGAGTATATTTATTTAAAATACTCTATTTAAAATTGTATTGATAATAGCAAAATGTATCTATGTTTTAAATCCGAAGTTAAGTTAGAAGAGAAGCTTTATTGTGGTAATAATATGTAGGAAGATTTATTTATCATATTGAAGACATAATTTTATAAAAATATTGTATAATTATGAGCATCGGCTTACACGAAATTATATTATTCTTTATTATCTTATATATAATTCTTTATTTAAAATAAAATTTAGATTTAATATTTTTGTTGTTGTTTTTATTATCATTATAAGCAATTAATTGGCAATATTAGAAATATTTATATATATAGGATTTCTATTGAATGGCAGTATTTAATCGTAGAACTGACTATGTATTAGAAAATTAATGAAAAATTGACTAATAACTGATTTATTTACAGATACATTTGAATATCATAGTATTGTATAACTGTATGCCAAATGCAGTAAAAGTTGCATAATTCCGTTTTGAAAACGGAATTATTTTATTGATAACATAAAAAATTATTCAAAATTACTAAGCATATATTGACAAAAAATTATATATTTCTTTTTTTCTTCCGTCAATCGTAGTCTTTATAAAAAAAAAAAAAAAATATATATATATATATATATATATATTATCAAGTAGATAAAAGGGCTGGTTTATCATTTTAAGTTAAGAAATGGAAAAAAAAATGAGTGAGAAATTATAATACTCACGTAATGTAATAATGCTGGAGGGTTTGCGGCAGTACATATGTATCTTAGTGGAACATTATATTGTTTTCTTGCGAATCTCAGAACTCTGTTTTCGCATTCGGAATTCGTTATAACTGTTAAATCGACAGATTTCAGCTTTGGGAATACTTGGCCATTTTCAATTTTACCCCATCCTACAGCGGTTACTGTTAAATCATATAAACCCAACGTGAGTGTATTGGAAATAAGTGGCGGAACAATACTATGTATGTCACCGTTTAGCTATAATGGAAAAATATTTTATTAATTAGAAAGCCATTGTTGCCTTTACTTACATAACTGTAATAGCAATGCTTATAATACTAATTATTATTAATTTTTCAACTGAATCTGAACAATCGTCATTTGTGCTTTTATGCTTAAATGTATTCATAGAAGCTAGAAGCATAGAAGCTATTGTATATCCTGAGATTTTGTAATGATTTCAATTAATGACGAAATTTTATATTATTTTGCATTATAATATCAATTGCGGAAGAATAAATACCCTTAGTATAGCAATGTCATTGTTTCGAAAAATGTATTTGTCGTTTTTGTGTTCGGCCCAAGCGTCATACGTCAGCCACCATAAAATATTGTATTTGACACCATATCTGAAATCGTTTGATCCAATTGCTACTTGAAGATTTTCTTTTAATTCATTGTGTAAACAATGTTCTGCAGTCAACACATTTTTGCTTGAAATAAGCGTTCCGGTGCAAATGTGGTTAAACAAAACTTGATTGTTTAATCGGCTTATTTGCTGAATGGATGCAAGGTAACGAAATTGATTTTCGTCTACAATTTTAATACCCGCTCCAATCATCGCTTTAGCCTTTGTTACATGACTTAAATTACCTAAACAAGAAGAATTTAGAATTTTGCTTGTAAATTACGTTTCTAGTATAATTTTCTTACTTACAAAGTATTGCGAATTGAGCAATAAAGTAGTAGATCTCGAAATGCATACTGAAAAATTAAAACTATTAGAAATATTTTTGAAAATCAAGTGTAAGATGGAAATGGTTTCTGTATATATGTTCAATGTTTTTTTTTGTTTTGTTTTTTTTTGTTTTTTTTTTGTTTTTTGTTTTTTTTTATTTTTGATTTTTCAATACCTTTATGTTGATTACATTATTTAAAAAATTTGAATAATTCATTTAGATAAAAATTAATTGTACTATACTTGTCTCTACTATACTTATATAATTTGTAGTAATTTAAATAAATTTGTTGTTGTTGTTGTTGTTGTTGTTGTTGTGAAATTTATTTTTTACCATCTTCTTGTAATAATATGAAGAAACTTATATTTTTCTAATGGTTTTTATAATACCACTTTAATAATTTATACAGTGAGAGAGAGAGAGAGAGAGAGAGAGAGAGAGAGAGAGAGTCAATTTCTATATAAATTGGGGTCACGATTGCCGATTTTTATTTTAAAATCCAAAATCAATAATATATATCGTAACTTATCTATTACTGTTATTTTTTTAAGCATGATTTCAATTTAATAGAATAAATATAATAATGCAATAAATTAAACATCATTTTTTACATTAGACTTTAGAAATTTTGCAATGAATATTTGTAAACTACAAGTTCAATTAATAATCAAATATTAAGTCTTCATAACGATGGTAATAATAAAAGACGCGATGAGTTACAATGTTTATTATAAAACTACATATTATGTTTTATAATAATAATTATATAATTAATCTTAGATATAATTTATATATAAATAATAAATATCCGAAATAAATTTACTTCAAGTATTTATACGATTTTTTTTTAATTAATTATATTTTAAAAAGTTCTGTTGTTGATTATTTTATTTGGAAAGCATATAAATTATTTTAATAATTTTGAGAAAGGTACCTTTAAATGATCAGTGATGATTTTATGATTTATATCTTTCTTGTAAGTTAGAATAATTATATCATTTACATATATCTATAGGCGCTTTATATATCTATTACATTACGAAAGATTTAAAGAAAAATTTAAATATATATATATATATATTTAATTTACAAAGCTAAATGAATGTACTAGAGTTTCATATTTTTTTTTCTGTAATCAAATTATTTCAATAGAAAAATTCATTTTAATTTCATGATAAGAAATCGTAGGATTATTGCAATAAATATTCATTCGATTGAAGTTTCGATACTTTGTTTACATAAAAAAAATTCCTAAGTGAAACATTTATTAATTGTACGTTATCTATTTTTTCGTATTTACTTTCAAATATTTCTTTTGTGATTTAAATACTTACGAATTAATAATAAATAATTCTAAAACTTGTTTGCTTTATATGATTTTGATAAGTTTTAAGTATTACTTTAAAGTGCTCAAGTTGATATTGTATTTTTAAATGTTCAAGCATAAATAATTATTCATATTGTTAATAAAATCGTTTATTACAAAAACATGCCTAATGTTATAATTAATTACGAAATATGGATATAAAGAACATAAATAATTTCACAATTTAAAATTTAACCTATATCATAACAATACGAATAATCTATATAAGTATAATAATAATCATTTAAACAGATACTTAAATTGGGTATGTATTTTTCAATAATTCTGAATTGTGATTAGCTAATTTACATTCAAAGTGCTTAACATTCAATTCATATTTAATTAATCTAAACTTTGATCGTTTGATGAATTAAACTAACTTAAACTAATTCCACCTTTTTTGAGATATGTAAGTTGTTACTTAGTTTCTACTATAATTTTAGGATTTTTCATTATTATTATTACAAATCGTACTCTTAATGTACAAATTCTCTGACTTACACAAGCTTAACTATTATTTTATTATTAATATTGATGGCCGATAAAAAAGGTTATGTTTAAATAAAATTTTCTTTATCTTTTTTTTTTTAGATGTCAAATATAATAGAATTCGTTTTTCATATTTTTATTATAATTATCGTGATTCATAAAATTTCATGACGTATGTACGAAGCATAGATACATAAGTTTTCAAATATTATAGGCTTTTGATCGATCGATAGTCAAAATATATAATTAGAGAAGCTCGTTTTTTAGCTTTGTTTTTAACTGTATATTTTCTAATTTGAATATTTTCCTTAATATTTAAATTAATAACAATGTTTTCTCTTATATACTGATTTAAATATACGTAAAATATCTTTAATACGCGAATATCAGTCTATAGAAAGCAAATTTTAATATAAAATTTTAGAATAAATAAAAGAGTTTTATTTGAAGTAGATAAATTCATAATACAGTACTAAGGTTATATTAAATAAATGAAACGGCTATTTGCATCTTATCAAAATAAAAAAAAAAAAAAAAAAAAAATTAGATATTAACTTTAGAGAGACTTAGATCAGATTTAGTACCCAAATCTGAATTAAAATTTAAATTAATTATAAATTATACATAATGCGCTTGAGGTGAAATCCTTCAAATAATACCAATGATAGTAGAACAGACATGTACAACAGAAAGTAACTATTAAATTAATCAATTATTACTAAATAATGTAAATTCGTGTAAGATTAACAGTAAAAATGAAATAATAACATTATTATTTTAAATATTATATTACACCACTTAGTAAATTCGCGATTAAATGATAATGAGTTATTAAATTGTAATTAGTCGAATGAGATTATACGAATAAATTGTCAGGATTTAAACTATGCGCTTTATGTGTTTGCAGTGAGAATTATTATCCATTTGGTTCGTATAGTTTTTTGTTCAAGTACAAAAATCGTACAATGGTAAAAATATACAGACTGTAGCGCTTATGTGAATAGATCGTGTAAGCCAATGAAAAATACCCATCATTAATTAAAGAGTCTTAAATTGTTAATAGACTCAATCGTCAATTTATTTAAAAGAACAATTAATAGAATTTAGCCTTAAGATTGCCTTGACGAAAATGTACAATTGCTAAAATATTTATACATAATAAATATTAAATTATGAAAAACGCTGTAGTTTTGAAATTATAGTGCAAATCCACCTCAATGTAATTACATGCTGATTCGCGTGAGATGAATTATCATACAAGTCAATTACTTGCAAATTCAAAAAAAAAATTCTGTTAAGAAGAGGCTGGTATTTACTAATATTTACTAATATTCATTATAGTAATAATGGCTTTAAGTGCCGAATATCAATCTTATGAGTGTCAAGGATTTATCCAAATGCCAATACTTTCACCGTAACAGAGAAATACTTTTTAAAATATGTATATGTTATAGGATTTGTCAAAGAAACATTCACATTATCAAAATGTTTAAGTTTATTACAATTATCAAAAATAGTATTTTTTTTCCTTTCTTAATGAAAGGGGAATATTAAAATATTAAAAATAAATAAATTTATTGTTATTATGATTTTATCATTTTTATGAAAATATTCAGAATTACTTGTACAGTCTAATTATCATTATTAACTAAAAAACAATCGTGTAACTTTCATAATAAAAAATCAGATTATTTATAATTAAAGAGAAAAGCACAGTACATATTAAAATATGTTTATTTGCTCAGTCGGGAACATTTTACATTTTAAATTATTCAGTAATTTTATTATTAAAATGTTTTTCCCAGTATTAAAAGAATTTTTTATTACAAATGAAAAACAAAAAAAAAAAAAAACAAAAAAAAAAGGAATGCTTATATTACATTCATATATTGTTTACTGATGTTCATAAGTTTATTTTGATATTAGCTTAGATAATTTAATAATCAGCTTTCTCAATAATTATTTTCTAGTAATCGCAATGCAATTTATAAATATAGTATAACATTCATATACGATGCTATCCAATATATGATATTGGATTTTTTTTAATTTTTTAACTTTTTTCAATATTTCCATTGATCACTGAATCGATACAAAACGTGTTGTACGCCCTTATTTCTTTAAAGTCAAAACTCTATGAAAATCTGCGCTATTTACAAAATCGTTTCATAAAAAGTCAATTCTAATTTTCAATATTCTCGGAGAAAGTAACATTCATCAATTTCCTGCAGCCAATTTTACGCTGACATAACTTCCTCTTATTTCTTTTTAATTTGTCTTCAAATCATTAAAAGTTCAGAAAAAAAGTGATGTAAAGTGTTGTCTAGTATGCGTTTAAGTAACAAGCATTTTGTACCATAAATGCTATAATGTTTTTAAAAATCTTGGCGTTTTTATGCATCAAGCAGATTAATTCACGAGATATATTATGTTTTGTTTTACATTTAGGGCAATGAAAAAATTTGTAATTTTCGACTATTTTTATCAGATAGCCTATTAAAGAAATGTTATTTAATAGTAATCGAGCATATTTACCATTGTCATTGAATATAATGGTAGTAAATATTTTGAAAAATTTCAAAATAAGATACAATATTATTTACAGTATTGAAGCTTCAAAAAGTACGTGTCACTAATTGAATCCATTTGTTACATTTTATTTTACAAACTTATTAAACTTCTATACCTCTTTAATAATTAATAGACTTTTAAACGTTATTAGTTTACTATTATAGAGACGAAAATTTACGCTGCGTATATATTTTTAACACATCCTTTTACAATTTTTACATCATCAATTGGTCTATCATTTTTATCTGTCTCTACAAGTCCTATTCGTTTAACTATTGCCATGCCTGTATGAACTCTTCCTATATAAAAATGAAAATTGTTATAATATTTACTTAGTTCTTTTATAAAAACAACGGCATATTAATATAATATAATAGTTACCAAAAATTGCATGTTTTCCATCCAACCATTGCGTTGGAGCCAGAGTAATAAAAAATTGTGATCCGTTTGTGTCTGGGCCTGAATTAGCCATTGATAAAATTCCAGCGCCTGCATAAAATGTAAATATGAAAACAGTTTTAAGCAAGAATTAATTTTAAGGAATCATTGAAAATTAGTTCAATGCACGCTTGTTTTTAAATAAAATTTGTAATACAAAAATTTTGTCAATTTTTGTATCTATGTAAAAAATGAATACGATATTCAATAATTTATGATAATAGACACTGTATGGTAAATAAACTATTCGATATTGTAAGATTATGTACATAATTATTAATCATTTCATTTCTGAAACATTACCTAAAGGTAAATTTTCTAAATTTCATATTAATTACATATGAATTTATTACAATTTTACCGGTATGTTTTAAATCATCGTGTATCTCGTCGTCAAAACATTCTCCATATATAGATGTGCCCCCTTTTCCAGTTCCTGTAGGATCTCCACCTTGGATCATGAAATCTCTAATTATACGATGAAATTTTGTTCCGTTATAATAACCTCTCCTCGCTAGCTCAGCAAAATTTCTGCATGTTATTGGCGCATGTTTCCAGTACAATTCAATAACTATTTCACCCATTCTGATAAACCAATGAAAATTAAGATTAAATTAATTTTATAAGCTGATTAGATCGAATATATACCGTAAAACCCTTACGTTGTTTCAAGAGATACAAATGGAGGTTGCCAGTGCTTATCAGGAATTCCTGATGAACTTGATGTTGTCAATGCCATGTTTGTAAATTTTGATATATCTGGTACAAAAAACGATATTGAAATTTTCTTTATTTGTGTAATTAATTATCTTTTAATATATTCACTTAATAATAATAAATAAATAAAAAATAAATAAATAAAAACCAGCTACGTTTGAATACTTATTTTAACCTAAAATTTGAAAAGATTTTATTTTGCCAGCACAATAGAGTGGTAATGCTACATTTAACTAATGCATGCATTTTCATAAATAACCAGTTAAATTTAAGTACAATATACGTGCGGATGCGTGTATGCGCAAATGTATGTATTAATCAATTAATAAAATATACAAACCGGTAGTTCTAAGCTTTTGGAATGTGTAAAATTTATTTAATATGAACAAAAATATTAGCGCTGGTAATGGGTACTCATTGATTGGTCGTCCTTATAAACAAGAGCGGGAGCTACGAAATCTCTCTCTCTCTCTCTCTCTCTCTCTCTCTCTCTCACTCTCTCTCTCTTTTTAAATAATCGATAAATATGTTAAGTAATACGCTAATACGCTAACGACCATTGACTAGAATATTAGAGTTCATTACATTTATTTAATTTATATGCTACATCGTAATACAATACACATGATAATTTATTTTATCGCATGAAAAAAATTAATTTACTATAATCATAGTGTAAGAAAGGTACTTTTGTGGTTTTTTTTCCGCCTTTTATTAAAGCAGTGATTTAATATTGAAACGTTAAACCAATAATGCGCTTATTACTGGTTTTCATATAAAAAAAAAAAAAAAAAAAAAAAAAAAACATATATATGAATACACACGAATTGACATTGTATTAAATTAAAAATTACAGATAAAAATATTAAATCACATATGCATCTTACAAAAGGATCGAACTCGGTAGCCGTGGAATGATATTATTAGCCAATCTCAATTCCGATAATTAGAAGCATCTTCAAACCAACGAAAACGAAAAGTTCTTATAACTTACAGTTTTAAAAAAGAAAGCATACTCGGCAGTGTGCTCCTTCATCCCTAATTTTCAATAATTTTCATAAAATAAATCCGACGGCTTTTGCACCGTTAGGTGGAAGCTCATAATGGGCCGGGTCAGTTGATCGATAAATTGGTAAAATCACAAGTGAAAGATTTTAAGAAATTTTTGTTATTCGCAAGATATACAAGAGATACATTTTCATTCAACTTTCAAATATTGTCAAAACTTGAAAAAAAAAAATAATAAATAAATAATACTTTCATTTGCTATTTTTAAAAATTTTAAGAGGAATACAGATTGGGTCTATTAGTTTATATTGCAAAGAAATATGTGGCATTGAAAATATTTATTTCATAATTGTATTTGTCTTTCTAATGTTCTAAAATGTTATTAGTGTATGAAATTGTATAAGATAATAGTCGGTGATGATATTATTTTCATCGCAAAAAAATACATTATAAAATTATTTACATTACTAATCAGCTGTTAGCAAAAATAAGATGAATAAAATTTGTCTTTAAAGCTTTTGAAAACTATATATAAATGTTAATAAACGTATATTTCTTTTTAATATCATTCTATTTACAATAAGTTAAAAACATTTATTTGCCGTTTCATTATCATAATATATTAAATTAAATTGTATGACTTTTAAAAGAAATAATATTCATCATATATATATATATATATATATATATATATATATATATATATATATATATATTTTATATACCAATGTGAAGATGCCATTTCGCGAGAAAACCTATTCCTTTCATATTATTATTTTTATTATTCCATTGATTTATTGATATTTATCATATTTACAGTAAAAATCTAATATTGAAGCAGTAAAAAAATTTATATTTTATGTTAATATAGTATTTTTGAATAACAATGACAATTATTTGATTTCTGTCTTTAAACGAATCCTCCATCCCGTTATCTTCCATATTAAAAAGTTATAATAGCTCATTGGGATATGCATTTTGGCATTGAAAAGTTATAATAATTCTATAACATTGACTAATTCTGGATGATTTATCATTTTATTTATAATTAAGGAATTTATTTCAAACAATATGATTCTTTATTGGGAACATAAACTTTATTTTGTATTACAAGTTATACAATAATAAGAGAAAATTTTACTTTCAATAAAATATCAGCTAGAATAATAAAAAATGTAGGTAGAAATTCTTTGATGATTATGATTGTTATTATATTGTCGCTCGTTTTTTTCCTACAAATGTTTCAATATGGCCGATGGATATAAATATTTGTATAATACTTTGATTATTCTAACCTTTATTTAGGTCGACGGCGGTATAGAATCTTTTTCAAACATCGAAAGCCCAACTCAATGGAACAATTTTTAAATTAAAAAAAAATCATTTCTAGCGGTTTCGAAATTTGTCATAAAATTAAAGGCCAAAGTATCTTGCTCAAACTAACAATAAAAAAAAAATTATTGCTGTTTTAAATTACCAATGACTTAATAATATTTTAATAATTATTTTATTCGCCTCGATCTGGTTCAATACACTAAATTCCACGTTTTAATGTTCTATTTATATTTAGCCTTTTTTGGCGGTATGGTGAAAGTGCGTGGTATAATCGATAAATAACAAGTCTGCTTGTTAATATCATATTATTTATACATTATTTAATGTATCAAAATGAAAGTTCTACGTAGCTATTATTTTACTTCTTTAAATATATTTATTTAATTTGATAAGTGTATTAGAATCTTAAAAATAAATTAATAATGGGTGATTTTGTTGATGAAGACCTAATTGTGTTGAAGGACAGTGGAAAAAATACTGTCGAAACTAGTAAATATAAATATCATACAATTAAGGATGACCAAAATAATATTAGTTTTCAGGATCTATTTCCAGGTAAAAAGAGGTTGAATTGAAAATGAATTTTCAAATAAATTTCATATAATTATAATTTTATGATAAAGTTATTATAACAAGGATATAATAATAATGGTCCTTGATTTAAATTACTTTTAATAGTTTGTTAAGTATATGTAATTTGTCAGGCTATTACGCTATGATTTTTTTTTGTTGTAAAATCAAAATTCAATAATACATAAAAATAAAATATTGAATTTTTGACAAAATGATGTATGAAAAGATGAAACTTATAGTATTCATTTTATTGACTATAAGTCTATAATTAAAAATAAACTTTTTAAAATCATTGCTATTTTAATATTCCCTTATATTATGTTTATAACATTTTTTAGATAACGATCAGCTAAAAGATTCAGTTATTAATATATCAAATGTTACAAATATTGAAACAATAAAAAATAAAACTGATAATTCTTCTACTATTTCATCGTATACACCAATACTTTATTCAAAGTTAATCAATGAGTAAGTATTAGTCTTTATATATATATATATATATATATATATATATATACAATATTTCATTAAAATCATGCAACTATGTATAAAATAAACCACGTCAAAAAACTACATATTGCTTCTGTTACTTTTAAGTCTTACTTAAATTTTTTTATATGACCATAATAGTAATAACTTTTAAAAATATTTTTTATTATTTAATAATTTTCATTAATAGAACTCCTGGAAAAGCAATTGTACCTAGAACGCCAATTGATCTTTTACCTTTCATAACAAAAACAAATATGTCATGGACTAGTGATATGGAAACACCGGAGAATAAATTTAACGAGAAATCTAAAGGCTGTAATGAAATTACAAACATAATTGATAATGTAAGTTTTTGAATAAGCACTGAAAGTAAGAAAAAATACAATTATTAAATTAAAATTTTATTATTACTTGAAAGAAAGAAATTTGTTAATGAAAAATTGCATTAAATAATGAATATTTTATTTATCTTATTTTAAAGTCTAACATTTTAAAATTTAATTTAATGAATGACTTCCTTGTTGTGACTAACTTCACAATTGTTTACCTTCTATTAAAATGTAAATATGCTGAATGATATAGGTTTTATAGACTGTGTTATTTTAAAATAAATGTTAATTTTCTTTGGAATAAAGTAAGTAAATACATTAACATCATAAGAAACTAAATTTAACGAAAATATATACATACGCGGAAATGCATAAAACTTATTGTAAAAAGTACAAGCATTTTAGAAAACTTACTTATCATATATTTTCTTTAATTGAAAATTATTCTATGATAATTTATTTCATTTATTCGACATTGTTTTATAAATAAAAAATTAATGTTCATCATGTTTAGCAAATAATTAAAAAAAAAAAATTGAATATTATCGATAGTACTCTAGTAGATGCCTTTATAAGGCTAACAAAATATCGATTAAAAAATTGTACTACTAATTATAATGTCATAAATAACTAAATTTATAAATTATATCTTATAAACTAGAATAAAGAAACACCACAGCATCGTAATCAGCGTACACCAACTAACAGAATGAAAAAGAATAAAATGGATGTCACTTCTCCAATTCTGGGAGGAAAAAAACGCTATAAACGACAAGTAAAACGCAGAATACTGAATAATATATTAGATATCGATACAAATAATGAATTCCAAAGTAGTTATAGTAGTAATAGTGACAAACTACCTTCCGAAACAATGGATTCAATAAGTAACGAAGTTGCATTAGATATTGAAATAGAAACTAAAAAATCTATTGAACGAGAATCTAATAATTTAATTAGTGAAATATGTAAGGAAAAGAGAAACATAATGGTGAGTAATATTATATATTATATAATATATATTTCATATAGTATTATATATTATGGTGAAAATTTTAATTTCAGGAAACTAATAATATTGATAAAAATAGTAATACTTCGACTCAAGATTTCTTTTCTAATGCATCATTTAGTTCCATTGATAAATTATGTTATAATGTGATTCAGGAAGAAAAATCACCTCTAATAAATAAAGCTAATGAAATAAAATCTACCGCCAGTGATAAACCTTTGAAAAAACAAATTTTTGATGAAAAAGAAAATAGTACAATGAATATAAGTAATAATATCCTTGAAAGAGTTGCTACGATCAGACGTAATCAAAAACCATTCAGGCAATCTATAAAAGCGCATGTAGTTGTATCAAAAGATATATTTACAAAATCAGTCAGAGATCTTGAATTCGCTGATTTGGGATTTAAACAAGAAACAACGAATGCTATAAATGCTGAGAGTAAGCCTTTGAAGCACTCGTTAACAAAATTATCTTCTTTCGAAAAGGAAACAAATATTGCAAACAATAAATTATCCGGTAAGAAAAATGAAATAGAAGACTTTTCTCAATTTGTGCCAATTGAAATTATGGATGATTGGGATGTTGAGAATGTTTTAGACATTAAAAAAGAAAATACAAGCCTACAAAATTTACCTGATTCTTGTAATCAACGAAAATTCATAAAGGAAGACGTGAATTTTAATACTGCTAATGGGAAGGAAATTCTGGTTAGCGAAGAATTTCTTGAAAAAGGTATGAAAATTTACAACGAAATTGCAGATGAATTAATAAGCGACAACAATTTTTTAAATTTAAAACATTCAAATGCAAATGTAAATTCATCGAAGCGATTCTCGAATGGGCTGAGGAACGATAAAACTCTGATAAACAACAAGGAAACTTTATTCGATACTACTTCCTGTAATAATTTATTAAGCTTAAATAATTTTAATAACGAGACGAATAAATTATCAACAGCCGTATGCAAAAATGTATGTTCAAACGTTAATAAAGTAATTCATAATGTAGTCGAAAATAATAATATAAATGAAAATACGTATAATGAATTAAAAAATAATGAAAATATATCAAACATTTCTGAGCTTCATTTTCAACACAACTATACCCATAATTCTAAAATAAGTTCAAACGATAAAGTAAAAAAAAATGAAGATTTATATCACAAAAACATATGCAATCAAGCGATTAAAACCGAAACAAATTTCTATCAAGAACTGCCTCTTCAAGATTTTCCAGAACAAAAGTTTATAACTCAAAGTGTGGAAGATTTTGATAATAATAGTTTTACAACGGCTGGTGGTAAAGGTATAAAAATAAATGAAGATAAGGAAAATTATTATTTGGAAATTTTTCAGCAATTGGGCGACGATATTCAAGATGGCAATCATTTGCTTAATATAAAAAAAAATACGTTGTCAAAAATAAATCGTAATATTAAATCATTAGATAAGGTTTCGGTCACATTTAATAAGCCACGAGAAAGAGCAATACAGTCAAAATTAAATAATAACAATAATACTGTAATTGCTTTTTCAAAGCCTGAAAATTTAAACAAATTTAATAGCTTACCGAGTAATAATATCGAATTAAAAAAAAAAAAAAATAATAATAATAATAATAATAATAATAATAAAGTAGATGGCAAAATTATAATTGCTGCTTCGAATTCGAAACATGTTTTGAACAAATTAAACGATACATCAGCCATAAGTAAAAATAAGGAGAAAAATTCGACTGTTTCTGAAAAAGCAATATCATTTGATAAAGAAAGTTTTTCTACAAGTGGCGAGGCACATAAAATTATCAAGAATGATCCTAGCCCCAAAAAAATGTTTGAAAAGGAAAAGCCATTGGAAAATTTTAAAATTCATAAAAGTGAGCATAACGACAGATATATGAAAAAATTGAAGCAGAAATTGGATCATTGCGAAATTAAGCGACCTGAAAGATGTCGATCTTTCGGCGGATTTTCTAAGAGCGAAGAAGGCGCAATGACATTAAAATTAAACAAATCCGATCCAATTGAAGAATCTTTTACAAATCAGCCATTAAAAAATGGTTTGTCAATCAGTCAATGTTTTGATTCGCATTCTGATTCTTGGTTATCTAAGGTTGAAATTAGTCATCTAAATAATAGTAAAGTGCAATCACCAGTCTTAATAAAAAAAATTGAAGAAAAAGTTAATGCAAGCGCGATGCCTGAAAATTGTATAGCTGAAGAGCGTAGTGAGTTTTTAGGATTTTCATTTAAAGAGTGTACGGAAAATTTTCGGAAATATGCAAATTTTAAGAAATTTTTGAAAAATCTTTCCGTTGACAATTGTAGTATTGAACTGAATATGAATAGTGGTCAAAGTGTTTCTTTACGTAATGAGACTTCGATCAAGCAACGATTACTTATAAAGTGTAAATGTAACATAGACGTAAAAGATAATTATAACGAATCCAATTATATTTTAACTGACATAAAATCTAAAACAGATATGAATAAATTCAGCAATAAACATGAAGCAATAGTAAAACAAAATCATTACAAAATAGAAAAAATTGAAAAACGAAAACACGTCGATACTGATAGCGATACGCCATTATCGACGCTTAAGAAACCTAGAGTTGGATGTGAATTTCAAGGTCGAAAATTATTTTGTGACGAACTAAATGATGAAGACGATGATATTGTAGATCGCAAAAAAAATGAAAAATCTTTGTCATATTTAAATGCTCCGACACTTATAGATCAAGAGCATAAGGATTTGCTTAAGAAACGTCTTCAGGCAATTCTTCATCAGGTAATCATTGACGCACGACTATTGTAAAAACAAAACAAAAACAAAAACAAAAACAAAACAAAAACAAAAACAACAAAAAAAAACAAAATTGGTTATAATCTAATAATAATATACACGTTTTTATAGGAGAAAATTATTAAAAATAAAAAACGAATAAAAATTCATTTTTCAATGGGTACATTATTACGACAGCGACTTATGAATAATAAAAATCGAATATCATTGAGCGACTACGTTGGACATTCAGCACCTACTGTATGTAGTGTTGACCAAGTAAGATATGAAAATTATAATTTAATATAATTTGAAATAATCTTTTAATAAGTGGGTAATAATATGCTTGTCCAACTTCCATTTTATTTTTAATCTAAAAGATATTATAAATTGCATTATAATATTGTAGTTTGATTACCACTATACTTTCTCTTTTTAATAAATTTTTATAAATTTTTATTACAATTAATTAATAATTTTAATAAATAATTTATGAATACGTAAACAATTGATGATAATATCATGTTAAGTATTTTGTATAATATATTTTGTAAAAGATACGAACATTTCTCAATAATATTTCATTAATGTCTGTTAAATTTTTATTTTTTTTTTTTCTTACATTATCAAATTCATGTAGTCATGCATATATGCATATAAGTGATTATAACAATAGAAAATACACAAATATTATTTTCATTCATAATTAATTTATTAAGTCGCATATAAGCTGATGTATTAAGAACATCGTAAAACATTACATCGAACGCTAGTCGCTTATTATAAATTCTAAGTAATTAAAGAATAACGAGTTATTGTAAAAGCAGATTAAATCAAGTGATTTATTTTTATAGATAAAACAACATTATTCTGACGCAAACGTTCTCGACGTAACAGCATCAAATGCCACTTGCTACAAATTCTTATTATCCGATGTTCTTGGGTTCGTAATTTATTCATTCGACGTACAGATGAAATATATATGAATATTAAAATTATCTGTAAATGCAATATTTTTTAGGAATGAGAGGATCGTTAGCTTAGATGTCGATGATGGTGGTGTCATAATTTTCGACGAAAATGGTCATGCGGGCGTGTCCGAATTTACAAAAAGTTTCTTAGCTCTACCGGGTGTCGATCCAAAACTTCTTCCTACTGGTTGGATCGAGAATCACTACAAATGGATAATATGGAAACTTGCTTCTCTAGATCGAATAATTTTCAACACCATTAAACTACCAAAGTAAATTTTTTGTACATTCCTTCATTAGTATTGGTATTTACAAATTAGTAATGTTTTTATTAATCATATACATCAATAATACGCATATAATCGTATTTATAATGGTGGCATTGTTCATCCCATTGCTTAAAGTCTTATATTGTTATTCATTATTAAATTTCAACAAAAGAGAATTATATTACTTTATTATTTTCTGTTATATTTATAAAGAATATTGACACCCGAACGTGTTATGAAAGAATTGAAGTATCGTTACGATCGAGAAATTGATAAAGCCGAAAGATCAGCTTTAAGACGAATTTTAGAGAAAGATGATGTTTCGACGAGACGTATGGTATTATGCATTTCTTCGATCAAATGGGTAATTTTATTTTTTTAATATCACTATTATACTTGTATGGACGAAATAAAATTTTGAAAAGCCAAAAATTGTAATTGTAATATTATCATTATGGAATTCTCATTAATGTTGAAAAAATTTCTACTCTGAATTAATATTTTTAAAGCGATTAAACAAATCTAAAATTCTTCATATGAACTAAGCAAACAAACATTGTCATTAATGACTTGAAATATTCTCAATTGAAAGGTGAAACATTCAACATATTTCTTAATGGGATATACATATTTAGCATAATGTAATGCTACTCACTAAAGATCGTTGCACTTTTTTAACAATAATTTGCTCTTGTAAAATAACTTTTAGAAATCATATAAACAAGATGAAGAAATTAATGGGAAGGCATTAGTAGGCCTATCCCAAATTGAGATAGAAGCCATGGATGGATGGTACAGTATTCCCTTAACGATTGATACTGCAATGGCTCATTACGTTGCGACTGGTAAAATTAAGGAAGGCACCAAGATTATAACGTACGGTGCTGAATTATTGGAGTGTCCAAGAGGCTACTTTCCCCTCGAGGTAAAAATCAACAACAACTACTCTTTCAATTAATCTTTAACTTTACTAATAATCAAATTCTTGCATTTTTATTATTTGTCATCAAATCTCATAGTAGCGTTTGTGATAATAGCTGACTCGAAGCTTATTGTAACGTATATCGGATTTATAGAAAATTTAGAATTTTAGCCTATTATCAGCTAAATTAATAAATAACAAAAAAATGTTGATGACAAAATTATAGTATGGTCAATGAATTTTTATTATAATTATTTAATCAATATTTGAATTCAAATTTTATACAAAAAAATACTATCTCTTTCTCTCTCTCTCTCTCTCTCTCTCTCTCTCTCTCTCTCTATATATATATATATATATATATATATATATATATAAAGATATAAAGCAGTCGTTAGTTTGAAGTGTAATTGAAATTAAAAATGTATTTTTCTATTTTCATATTATGACGGATATGGAATTATGACGAATTCTATAATTGATTTGAGACAAATCTGAACCATTAACAACCTATCAAACTTTTTATTTTTCTACAATTGCAAATTCATGATCTAGCATTTTAAAAATAGTTCAAATAAACTTTATTACAAAACATTATCAGAATGAAATACTATTTCCTTTTAAATTAATTTATTGAAAAAAAGCATTTTTAACGTTAAAAAGAGATCCTTTAAAAAAATGTTTAATCATTTAAAGATTTAAAGACCATATTGAATTCGGTAGCCTTTTTTTCTTTTTATAACGAGTACTTTAAATTTGAGTACAAATTAAAAAAAAAAAAAAACTAATAATAATAATAGTAATAATAAAAGGCGGATGTACAATTTGCAAATTATAGCAAATTGGCAGCTTCTTTATGCAAATTAATTAAAATAATTAATTTCTGTATTATTATATTTGAGTGCTTGCGTATATCTTGTACCTTTCTTGATTTTCCAAATTTCCCAGTTCACATTTACATTCTGTTTACAAAAGTCAAGTCATGTGGCACTAAATATTATTTTACTTTTTCCATTGGTTTTATCGAGTTAAAAGAAAAATAATAATTTATATATATATATATATATATTTTAGTGCGGAGCACAATGGTTAAGCATATATTTTTAAAATTTCAAAATGAGATTGTTTCTAAAAAGATAAAAGCTTAATTTCATATTCACGATAATTAAAAATTATAAATATTACCATATCAATAAATTGTTCTAACTTTCATTTTATGTCAAAGATACTTAGGATTAAAATCATCGACTTCTAACACATCGTATGCAGTATTTAAAAATATTTACGTCAACTTTTATTCTATTATACATATGAAATACGGTTTAGAACAATTATACAAGACAATAAAATTATATTAGAATATTATATTATATTAGAATTACATGAAATTTCTTTGATTAATTAAGGCATATTTCATAATCGAAAAATTACTTTAACACTATCTTAATCGAGACAATGCAGAAGCCGGTCAACGTAAGTTTGAGGATATGCACGAACTGCACAAGGAGAGTGAGATGGAACACCAAACTTGGTTATCAGAAGAATTCGCGACCCATACCTGTGAAACTGCGAAGCATCGTACCGACTGGAGGAATGATCGGTGAAACGACAGCGGTGGTTGCGAGAACTTATCCACCTTTATACAGAGAAAAGACTGCGAATGGCCAATCAAGTATGAAATCGCCATTATGCATAAATTTTGACATTCGACTGGATTGCTAAATTACATATATTAACGCGGTATCAATTTGCTTAATTAACGAGGATTATCGTTGAAAGGGGTGAAGATATTTTAATAAAATTTAACTTTAATCGATTTTGGCGTATAGCTCGAGTGCCTCCCCGCCCCCACCCCGCAACCCAACTGCTTTTCTGAAAATGTAAATGAAAATTATCCTTAATGTTGTAGGGAAAGCTCTGTTTGCCTTAAATTCTATGTGCCCAATGAACGATTAATGTCGATTAGAATCAAATCTAATGTGATTTTAATATTTTTCAGTCTATCGTAACGCTCGATCAGAGGAAAAAGCGGCGAGTGACTACGAACGGAGTCTAGAGTCAAAAGTAGACGCTATGTATGCCGAGGCGGAGAAAAACTTTGAGTCAAAGAAAACATCGGAATCGGATGACGAGATGGAAAATTCATCACAGGTGAACATTCATATTGGGGCAAAGTTTTTTTTTTTTTTTTTTTTTTTTTCAACTTGTTCATAGTTACGAACTAATAAATGCACTCACAAGATACTTAAAAATAATGGTTTAGCAATATAAAACTCATCTACTCGTTTCTATGTTCGTTTTTCAATAATTTCATCACTTTACAATTAAACTATTAATTCACGGCTGCTCTGCTCTTACAGTGAACGTAAAACGTTTTATTTCCCTAATTTGGTTCTATCTCAACAATGCCCGCGTCAAATCTCTTAATTTAACGCTTAACGCTTAATCTTGAGGCAAGTAGTGCAGTTGTTCGTTGGAAGTTTTCCCGTTTAAATTTCAATTCCAAAATCATTCGTTACGCAACGACTTAATGGCAACTTAATGCTCGTGTTTCGTCGCAGTCCAAAGTGAGGACGCGCAATCAGAGTCAATGGCAGCGCAACCAGAGTGCGCTAAAGGCAAAGCTGGAGACGCGGATGCGACAGGATTTACCTCCGCCCCGTCAGGTCACATCTATCCTCAAGATTCGCCTCTTCCACGACAAGACCACGGCGATTTTGTCCCTATGGGGAGGTAACGAAGACTCGAGATACGACATTAAGGAGGGCGACACCATCACCGTCTACAATTCCTTTGCAACGGGAACGAGGTGAGCTTGCGGTTGGCGCCATAATAAATATTCGATGCCTATAAAGATTGAAAGTACCTCCTACCGCGTCAGAATCCATTAACTTGGCATTACCGATTAAAGAAACTGATAAAAAAAACAAAGTTCTCTCTCTCTCTCTCTCTCTCTCTCTCTTTTTATTTTATTTTGTTTTGTTTTTTTTTAATAACTCACACATCGTTAAACATCTTTATTTTAAATGGAGGACGATTTGTTTGAACGGAAATATATAATTTAAAAGAATGCATTACAAAATTATTACAAACATCATTGTAATTATTATTATTATAAGGCATTTTGAGATATGATATCGAAGTAAATCCCTTTTTTATTAGCTTCAATCGATTTATCAAAGGGTTTACTTTTAGACTTCAACTGCAATTGCGATTTCTTATTATCATTATTATGATTATTATTAGTAGTAATGAATTTGTCGACCGTGTAATTTTGTTTTTGCAAATTACCAACTAATAAATATTTTTTCTTGTTATTATTATTATTATTATTATTATTATTATTATCATGGTATAATTTAGGGTATTTTAGTGTCAAATGAATTATTTTTGCAATTAATCTCGTTGCTTTTTTTTTTTTTTTGGAACGGATAGTGTACTTAAAATATTATACATAATAGTAAAGATTTTGCAAAGTAGTGAGTGAACAATGCTCGCATAGAATAGATTCGAATTTTCTTTTTGTACGCAACATTAATTTTAGTGAGCATAATTAATTGTCAAAGTAGCTCGGTACTTTATGTAGGTTTTTCATAAAAAATTTTCATAAATTTTGCTGGAAAGCCGTCTCAAAATTATAAAAATAATTTTCGAGATGAATGCGCGATTTGTCTGATAAACTCACCAACACTTTATGGAATTGATCCCGTGAGCTCTACTCCTCTCTCAGACTCTTTGGTGTTAGTTTCGCAGCAACAAACACGTAAATTATGACTCACCTTGACGCGGTCGTTATTCCCCATTCGCTCCTTATCTTGGAAAAATAATATTCGGCAAAGGAACGCAGCGTGACTCACGTCGACGACAGTTCGGTCTTGTTGCGTTTTAAGTGCCGAGGCAAGAAAAAGAAAGCCACTGGTCCCCCCCCCCCCCCCCGACATTTTGCAACGAAACTTTATTTTATAGGGGCGGCGAGCTCAATCTCACCACCAACAGGATCACTCACATAAAGAAGGAGTCGCTGCTAAAGCTGCCATATCCGAATAGAATCTGCAGCCTCATTGCGGAGATCGGTAGTCCGGACTTTCAGCCGGCGTTCAACGAGATTGACACCGTTGGAGTCGTCGTGTCACTCGGAGTCGCTCCTTCCGTATGTTATTTTATTTTGTTACTACGAGAAAGTGTGAAATGATGGGGGAGGGGGGGGGAGTATTTAGTTGCCCCAGCAGCCCGATTCTGCCCTATAATTCGATATCTAATTCGATAGATAACTAAAGATTAAAGGAAAACTTGTAACGGTTAGAGGGTAAATATCTTAAACTTTCTCCTTAAAACTGTCCTATACAATATTATATATATGCTGTAAGCATGTATTCTGAATATTATGAGTCTTTGATTCCTTTTTTTTTCCGTTGGTTCCCCCCTTTCCTTTGTAATATACAATTCTGAGATATTTTTCTGCGTATACATACGGCATTTAAACGCAAAGTTAACAAGTTTCAAAATTAACGATAATTTCAGTCAAACATTTGTCATAATTGTCAAACATTCAATAAGATCGATCAACATTTCGCTTCTCTTGGTTATCAAACTTTACAATTCCGAATAACGTGTTTATAACTAAGTAATTACCGGGAAAATTAACGGCTCATTTTATCACAAGCATCTAAGTATTTTAATTGGCTGCCAACATATTTATGATTAATCGATAATTATTTACAAAAATGAGTGCTTACGCGTAAGAATGTTGTACGAGTCTTTTTTTATATCAGTGCCTTTTCAATAGCTTAAGCGCAATCCGACAGCTTTTGCCATTAATCACTCCCCAAATGGAATACACGCATCCAAAGAAATAAGTGAACTGCCGTTTGATAATAACGTATGTTCGAAATAATTGCCTAATACAAATCAAACAGGGAATGAAGAATTTCGAAATGGTGAATCTCGGGCATCCGAAGCCAAGCACCGGAGGCTCGGCCTACCTGTCGATACTCTTCTGGAACGGTTTGTCCGCGTTCGGCTACCAGGGTATACTCACCGTTGGCTCGCTCGTCGCCTGCAGTAATCTCGAATGGCGTAGCAGCGCTTCCTTGAGCTTACCCGTTGCTTATTGCACGGAAAAGAGCCTTTTCAGCTGTCATCCTCGTCAGCCGTATCTCGCAAAGGAGCTGCGCAACCTCAAGGCCCTCGTGCAGGTAAGCCTGCGTTATAGCGAGCATTTTAGTTGAATAAGGGCGACGATATAAAGTCGAAACTGGCTCTTGGAGCTTTCGAAGCTTACAAATTGGAAGTTTGGATGAAAAGTGAGCCCCGAACGCAACACTTATTGTTCCCAGAATCCAGCGACGTACGCGGAGAACTGTGCCGAGGAAGTCGCTAGGGAACTGTCGAAGAGATCGCTGCAGCCTTGGTCACGTCAGGTCGGCTTAGCCAGCCCTTGGACCCCCGGCTCTCAGGAGATGCGCAGCCCCGGCGGACCCTCGGTGCAGCGCCGATTGGAGAAGCTTTCGCGTTACGGATGCTCGACCGACGGCTCGCCCAGCGTCGTGCTCAACGACAGCTCCGACCGCGTCAAGAGGGACTTCACGCCCGTGACTCGTGGGAAGTCCTGAGGCGAGGCTGTTGCCAATGACTCCTAGCGAAAACCCCGCGCGGATAATCAAGGATTTAAGATGATTAGCGTGACATGGACTTTACGGTCCCAGGAGCTTTCTACGCCCGACACTCGACCGTACCACGACTCTTTCGTCTTTTTGTGTTTGCAGGCACAGTCACTTGCGGCGGATGGGAGTGGAAACGAGGGTGCCGAGCCAACCGATGAAAATAGGAAAATTCGGCATTTGGAATGTAAATAATAATGTCGAGATGGGGATTGTAAGCCTACCTAAGGACGACTCCGCTCGTCCTTGCTCTACGCCCTACATAGAAATAATATTACGCTCATTTGCGTGCGATAGGTAAAATGGGAGGAAAATTTTTGTTTAAGGGGTTGGCCGACAAGGAAAAGATAACGACGATTGCGAAACATTCAATTTTGAATTTCAATTCAAGACGACAAAGAAATACGGACCCTCTAACGCGGGCATTTACTTAACATAATTACAAAAAGCTAATGTTTTATTTTTCTTACTTTATTAATTACTAATAATAATATTAATGGACGAGTGAAGAGCAATTAAACCATGATGAATTTTGTTCTATTATCGTCGTATGCTGAAATTACTCGTCTCGTTTTTCCCCGTTCAAACAACGTAATCGTATGTTAATAAATGTATAAAAGTATCTTTCGAGCCGAATCCATCATCATCGTACCTTGGTTTTTTTGACGATTAAGATTTTTTGCTTCCTCAATGGGAAAGAAAATTTTAGGCCATTATCACAATGATAATGATCGATGAACTTTAAGGGATCGATTTTTAAATACAAATAGATTAGTTTAGAGGATAAACCAATTAGTTATCTTGATGAAAAAACTATTTACTTTTACGTATCCAAAGTAATTTTAATTTGTGATTTATGCTGTAAGTTATGGAGAATTTAACTTTAGTTTACAAACGTGCAATGAATATAAAATTATACATAAAATGTACCTTGGATATATATATATAAAAAAAAAAAACGTCGTGCTTCGGCCATCGGTAGAGCAGGATAAATAATTAAGAAATAGAGAGAAATTGGTACCTTCGAACTCCTAGGTTTAGACAATATCACGCACACATTAATAATGTATGCTATTGAAAGTACAATTTTTTTTTTTGTATTTCTTTAAATATCATTAAAATGGTCGTAAAATATCGTTAAAATGGTCGTGGTAAATTCCAATCGACAGTTAAAACATACATAAAAGTTCTATTTGTACATCTAAACGTATAATAGTGATTAATTAAAAAGATTAATTTAAAAAAAAAAGAAGAGGAGGAGGAGGAGGAGGACGAGGAGGATGGGTGAAAAGAAAGGCAATAAGCGTAGTTACCGTTTTCGAGAAATTGTAAGTTAGATTTAAAATAGGAATTGTGCGTGTGAAGAAATGAAATGAAATTTACGAAAAATCTATAATTTCTGATTCGCAGTGAGTATTTAAAATTTCGTTTTAACGATATAAACATACAATTCTAAAACTGCTTTAGGATTCGAACCTAAAATTATTTAGGGGAATTATAATTTGATACGAGTAAAAAAAAGTAGGCATTTCCTTTAAATTATTGGAAATTATAATTATGTGAAAAGAAGACCGCTAGATATATTTACAGATTATCTCTATTTTGTTATCAATAATAATATTTATGTTAAATCGTTATATGCAGAATATACGTATAGATATATATATATATATAAAAGTGAAAGCATTTGTGTAAATGAAATTTAGTGCCAATATATTAAATTCTTACGAATATTATTATACATTTTTCATATATTTTATGCGACACAAAAAAAAAAAAAATAAAAATAAAAAAAAATAAGAATCTCTACAATGTAATTAACGAAATTGCAAAAACATATATTATACATGAATCATCGTTGTAGGTTTTAAAATAATCGCCAACAATCGCCAACAATCGCCAATAATCGCCATAACAAATAAGATAAAAGCTTTACGATAAGAGCTAAGTCACTTATCTCAGCTAACAGTTTTGTGATAAATTTTAAAGCAAAGGACAAACATAATGGAATTCGCGAATACGAGCCCACGAGCACTTAGTTTATTTATAATATTTTTTAATGTTTTTTTTTTGTGTCTATTCTTTTCTTTACTTTTCTTCCGTTAATTAATTTATTATCGCAAAGATACAAAAAAAAAAAAAAAAAAAAAAAAAAAAAAAAAAATAAAAAAATCGCAGCGTGATTTTCCTCTATTGTGTATTTTATACAAATAAAAATAAAGTTAACTCGTTCGATACCATATGTTTTCTTATTTCACAATTGCCTTGCCTGTTTTAGTTGCAAACAATATTGTTACACAAAGAATGGCGGATATGACGAATAACAGTAATATAAAACTAAATATGTAAAAGTATCGTTGACGTTTAGGTAAACTATAATACGTGAATTACAAAATTATAACGTCGCAATGTTACAGTCACAAGGAGCATATGTTTATCTTTCTTTTTGTCTTTCCTGTTTTTTACAATACAGTTAAGTACTATGCAATTCCAAATAATATTTTGCTTATTAAATCATTATATTTTCTTTCAATTCTATTTACAAAAGCCACATAATGCGCGCTTCAATTTAAAATTACAATTCGCATTTGCACAACGAATCTATTACTATCCTCGTCTCGATAATAAGCTCACTAATTAACGATGTAAATATATTTAGACATAAAGTATTGGAATCGTATGTCGACGGTACAATTGGTCCGGAATTAAGACGTTAAAGCGAAAATGGCCGACAAATTTTTAAATAGATAACAGCAGTTAGTCGTGGATGTTGAAAAGAGAGAAGCGCAGATCCCTCGCGCGTACGCAAACTCTCACGTGGAATGTGTTTGTTACTCCTCTCCTCGGCTCATATAAGATTACGACTGAAATTGAACTGCTAACGGGTAGGAGGAGGAGGAGGAGGAGGAGGAGGAGGAGAAGAAGAGGGGAAGGGCCCTTGGCATAAGTGGCACAAGAGTTTCTTGACACTCTCGCGCGCGCGTTAACGCACTTGTATAAGAGACCGTAATTCCGCGCTGCGCAAGGACAATATGAGAGTGCGCCTGGTGGGAGATGGGGATTAAGCCAACGGCTTGAGCACCTGGTTATTCGATCCCCGTCCCCGGGGTCTAACTCCGATGGCAAAACTGGGTTTAATAGGTGCGTGCGGATAGGAGGAGCAACCTTAAGGTATGCGCCCGAGACCTTACGGATCGCTCCCACTCCATCTTACAGTGGCTTTGCTTCCATTTCGCGATGCATTCTCGTATTTCAGCTCGCAGGTGAAAAAATGATGGCTTAGATAAGTTGGAAGTACCACCGTGCGGCTATTATCACTTGCCTCTTTTATAATAATATAAGCACCGTCGACGCTCGCACTCTCTCATACGAACCGTTTCAACGGAGCGTCAAAAGCTACTCCCGTCAACAAGATGTAGATAAAAAACTGCAGAAGGTGTCGGATAAAAGATAATACAAGACATTGTAGATCAGCACGGAGCCACGCAATCCAAGCTCTTTTTACCGCCAAGGAGGAAGGACTTTGCTGGCTTTGAAAAGAGAACGCGAACATGTCGACTAGTTGCATTTGGCAATGAGTTTGCTTCATGACGTTCTTGATAATAATTTTGAGTATTGAGATTTGTCAATCCGAATAATAAATTATTGTATGGAGAGGGAGTGGGGGTGGTGATTTGTATAATGTGACATTTGTAAATAATAGCGCTTAACCGTATCAGCTGAAATTATTGTCATATGGCTTTCGGTAACTCATTTGCCGGATGTGTGCGTAAAGCCTGCGCACGCGCGCGCGCATTAGAGGGGCTTAGGGGACGGTAAGCCAATCAGAGGGACGATTTAGCGGCTCTGATATACGTGCAGGATTATGCATTACTCTATAAATACAGGACACCAGGAAGTACTTACATTTCCTCCGCTTATTTAAACATATCTTAGCCCCTTCCCACCCCTTTCGTCCCATTGTCGTTTGCCCGAGGTTCCCCTCCACAGTGTCGCTTACGTTTCGGGTTAGCAAGGACGGAATTTTTTCAAGGCCAGTGCTTGTTAAGGCCCAAAGCCATTAGGGGTTGTTGGTTTGTGGAGGAAGGGGGTGGGGAGTCAGGTAATTCGAACAGGTAATGACTCGTCGATTTGCGGCGCCCCAGATCGCCGAGTGTCTTTGGCAATTCTTTGGCGGCTTTGTTCATAGAGAATTCTTAATGAGAGAATTGTGAAATCGAATTACAAATTAACGCCTAAAGTCTACTCGTGCGTCCATCCAACGACTCGACGAGTATTCCCTTACCCGCCCACCCAGTACTTATAAATTTGATCAAACTTGCCAGACTACGTACGTAGTCTCTCTCTCTCTCTCTCTCTCTCTCTCTCTCGCAAGTTCCTTCTGTTTCATCGTAAATTATGCAATTAACGTCATGAGCTGACTTTGAATATGTATTGTTATTCTCTCGGATTGCATTGTCGCAAACACGAAAGGAGGGCAGGAATCTGGGAACGAGATTTTGCTTTTTCTTTTTTTTTTCTTTCAGCAAATGTTTCTACATGAAAATTGATTGGCAATGAAAAGCTAAAAATTTCACACGCAACAATACAGATTTTCGGCCAATCATTAATCCTATCGCCACGTTAAATATTATGGATTTTCAGACGATTTGACGGCACTTAAACTTTGTAAGATAAATGATATAATAAAGATATGCGTACATGCGATTTTCATAGTTTTACAACACATTAAAATAATGGCAAATTATCGTACAACGTTAACTATGTTTTGAACCAATGCGAACGGCAGTTACGTAAATAAGAGAAAATAGGGACTTCAATATCAAAGCTGTCATTACAAATATAAAATTTCAGTTTAGCATCTCATTGTGCTCAGTCTTATTGATTCACGAAAGCATCTATTTACGTAAAACTTTACAATACATAAGATTTGTTCGCGTGTCCTCTTAAATTTCTCGTTGAACAGACGTATGAGATGAGAAATGACGTACGAATATGAGAAAAATCATAGGAAAATATCGATCGCAACACACACGTTTATAAGTCCAATGCTGAAACGCTGATCGATCGACAGAACGTAACTATGGCTACAATATCTTAAAAATCAGTAAATAAGAGAGATGTCGTCCTAATAATAATTGGATATAAATACAAATTTGTTTATAAATACATTTCCGAGCAAACAAGGATTTTAAATACAATTTTTATTTTAATATGGTCATTTTCGTATAGTTGTAGTTATTTTAATATATAATCAAATTATTATTATTATGCAAATAACCGCAAACCACGTGGTATTCATATATTTAACCGTTAGATATTCGTCTCGTACACCGACAAATAAAACGTCTCAATGAATGATACGAGAAGGCAGTGTTGTTTCTTTTACTCTCTTTTTTCTCTCTCTTTGAATTTGAATACGAGAGGAGAGAAAGAGAAAAAAAATTGCCTGAACGAACAGTGCAACCGGGAATTGGACGGACGGCGGTCACAATGCCGGGAGCCCCGAAGGATCCATCGGCACTCAAAACGCGTCGCTACCGCAACAACAAAAACAGCCGTCGTCACCGTCGCTGCCGCCACTGCACCGTCGCCGTCGACGCCGCCGCCGCCGCCGCCGCCGGTCCTGCCCTCTGGAGCCGGCCTCGAGGCTTCCTCAGGGTGGCGCGCGCCTCGGCAGTCAGTTCGGCGCGCACCGGCACGCGTCGCTCTCCACGTTTCTTTTTCGCTCTTACGGCCTCTCCAACGTGGTGCGCGCGCTTTCGGCCAATGAGGTAAGCGGGAGCGCGAGGCGCTGCTCCGAGCTGCCAAGTATGCGGTGAAATTCGGGTGGAGCTTTAATCCCACCTCGGGGATAGATAAA